TTATAAATTAATAATTAGGTAAAAATTTCAAAATATATGTATATATAGACACTTTAGTTTTTGTTAGATTTTATTTTAAATTTTTTTTGAAAAAACTTTCCAAATTAGGAAAATCTCTATATAAATTAATAATAATTAATTTATCGATAAATTAAAACCTCTATAAATTAATAGATTTTCATGGTCCCAATATTATTAATTTATAGAGGTTTGACTGTAGCTCCCAAATGTTTTGGTGATTGTCAATTTGACATTACTAGATTTTTATAATTAAAATTAATAACGAATTTTAAGAGATATATATATATATATATATATATTATATGAAATTTCTAAATGAAATTTCTAGATACTTCAAACCAAAAAAAATCTCTTTCTAAATGAATTAATTTCTCTTTTTTCAAAAAAAAAAATTGGAAATTATTTTTTTATAAGTTATAATAAATTTTAATTTTAATTTAATTTTAAATAAATGTAACCCGTCCATCGGACGGGTACTAAACTAGTATATATATATATAATTTCCTAAAATTTTGTGTGTCAAATGAAGAGATAAATACTTTCCGACTAGGCATGTCAATTAGGGCTAAAGCCTGCGGGCTAGTCCGGCCCGGCCCTAAAAAACATCGGGCTCGAACTTAAATATATATGAAAATTGGGCTTGTTCGGCTAAGCCCATTCGGGCTAAAGGGTTTTCTGGGCTTAACCCGGTCGGGTTCGGACTGGCCCGAAAAGCCTTTAAATAAATATATTTTTATTTTTGTAAATATTGTAGTTTGAATAGAAGATTTGATTAATGAATTAATTTTTCATATTTACTTACTAGCCTTACTTAATACTTTTAAAATCATTATCTATCATATTTTCTATTATTTATATCTGTCAAAACTGAACAAAGCTAAAATTATATATAGATATTGACTCTATCATCTACTTTAAAGTATTTTAGTTCAATGTTTTATTGGGCTGAAGTGTAAATAATTTATTTAGTTTTCATTTTTTTCTCTTAAATTAAGTTAGTTTTAATGAATATTGATATGTTATTTAAATTTTGATACATTATTTTTATAGTATACTTTTAAATATATTTTTTAAAGTTGATTTTTTATCGTTAACTAAAGCCCAAAAAAGACCGAAAAGCCCTGTAGCCCTGTTAGGACTGGACCGGACTTTGAAATATAGACCCGAATATTTTTCGGGCCGAGCTCAAATATATGAAGGCTTTACGGGTTTTGGGCCGGGCCGGGCCGGGATAGCCCGATTGACATGCCTAATTATGACTAGGAAAATTAATTTCTGTAAGGAAAAAAAATCAATGCATTTTTAAACTCAACAAACTTCAAATACTATAATTAAGCATAAAACAAATGATAATAGCATCATTTTTTTTTTGGTAGAAATGATAATTGCATCATTAACAACAAAATAAGATACTTATCCAAGAATTGGCAAAAATGGGTTGCATGAGTATGTGATCTTTGTCCAACTACTTTTTTATAGCCATCTTTTGAGGGTAAAAATAGGCCACAAGAGTCACTTTCAAAGGCATAAGATTGTCCACACAAAACTTGGCTTAGAGTTATTGCAATTGTGTGCAAACACTTCTGTTTCTTGACAAAGTCACAAAACTATAGGTAAGAGACTAAGAAGAGTATAGGTTGGTTCAAAACCATGACAATACCTAACTCATCTTCATTCTTCCAAATTACATATTTTGTGTCTTCTTTAAAATAATAAGTCAAGCCAAGAAAAAAAGTTTCATCTCATCATCACCAAGCATCAACAAGAATTTGACAAAATTGGTGAATATAAATTCAGTGAGGAACACCCTTTTTTTTTTGGAAGTCCAAGAGTAAGTCATATGAATATTTTTATAAATCAACCTTTTTTTTCAATAGAGTGTCTTCTAATAAATCTTATTTTTTTGTTTAAATTAAAATATAATTTTCTAATCAGTAATTCTTTAGAAGTATATATTAATTAATAACAAAAATCGTAAATATATATACATTTTTATATATAATTGTATAAATACATATAAACATAATAAAATTATGATAAAATTTCACACAATCACAAAGAACTGATTTAAAATATGTATGATAACACTCTTATACAACAATTGATGTCGCAAAATAGACTGTAAATTGTTTTTTTCAATTGTAAATAATTTGAAAAAAAATTAGACTGTAAATTGTTATAGTAATATTTTTGATTTTTTCTTTTTAACTATAGATTAGTAGTAGATTATATTTTTATTAAATTATTCGCGCAAAGGCTTTAGTCCGTCTTTGTGCTATGTCATCAGAAGAAACGATTTGTTCTTATTTCTGAACATTAGAGATTTAGGACCTTTGATTGATTAAAGGAAGAAGAAGAAGAAGACGACTTGGGCGATCAAAACAGTCTCTCTCTTGATCTGGTACGTTTACATCTGCAATCTCCTCATCTTCTAAACTTTCTCCACTTAAGAGTTTTAAGCATCGAGCAAATTTATTCTGAATGAGGTTTCATTGATCTGTTTGGAGAATGATCTTTCTGGGTTTGTAGCAAATTGTTTCCAGGAACCTATCTCGATTTCCTTTTATTCCTTGTTGCAAAAATGTCGAGTCTTTTGTATTTCTAATGTTGAGGAAAAAGCTGCACACAAAGTGTTCGTTAAAATGCCACAACGAAACTTTATTAACGTTCTAGATTTGATTATAATTTTTTTACATCTAGTATTGCGTATGGATTTACCGATCAGTGTTATCTTGTTACCTAAGTTGGATTAGTTCTTGAAAATTTGTGGTTCTTTAGTTTGAACATGCCACTCAATTCTTGTAGCATAGTTCAGCTTCAGTGGTGATATCTGAAGTTTTTTTTGCTGAGGTCATTATAAGAGAGAGGTGTGTTCTTGTGAGAACGCGTCTGTTAAAATAAAAAGAGAGACTTTAAGTTTTTCGCCCAAATGAGCATATATCTGTTGCAACTTTCTTTTTCTGATTAAACAAAAGATGCAAATATGCCCATTGAAAAGTTAGTTTCTGCTTGATACTTGTGTTGGAGTTGGGCTAATGGTTCCATTGTTTTCATTGATTCCAATTTGGCTAAACTGTGTTTTACTATCCTTTGACAGAGAGAGAGAAGATCCCTGTTTCTGGTTGTGATGTCTCGGCAGAGTCAGTTATTTACATTGCTTAAGAGAAGGTTTCATACACCGTCTCATGATGCCCCAACAGAAACCTTAAGAAAGAAGTTAGCTGATTTGCAAAAAAGTAAGAAGCGAAGGAATCCAACAAAGAACCAGTTTCTAGTTGAAGTTCCTGAGTCAAGATCGTATTTGGACACAGCAACGATGCCTATGTTCCTCGCCGTTGTTGGAATTGCATTGTTTGCAAAGGTGTTAATGATGGTAAGCTTTCTTATATCTATTGAGTGCGTCTTCCTTGTTCATGACTTAGCAGCTGTTAAGTAGATGTGGCTTCATATTTGAGCTGCTACACTGCTTTATAATTTCTTTGTGCAATTGAGCGATTAGATAAGGATAAATCCAGAGGAAATTGCTGTTTCTCATTATTGGTTTATTGTTAGATCGATGATTCGAAATCGCAAGAAATGATTGAACGCAAGATAAAGAATGCACCACCGGGGCAAGGCACAGTACGAATGATCGAACGTGAGGAGTGGGATGAGTTTAGAGAAGTAAGACCAAGAACACCTTTTGAGTCCAAGCTTGCTCGCCCAAATGCACAAATAAGAACTGGAGAACCAGTGCGCAAGGTAAAACAAAAGCCTCTATCCACTCTATCAAACCTTACTGTACTTTGCCATATCATTCAATGATCATACTTCTTGCTTGTTTCCTTTATTCATTAGGATGACTTAAAGAACTGGACCATAGACGTGCTAACAGATGCACTTGCACGAACCGAAGAAAGTGTTCGTCGTGGTTCCAGTTAGATTTTCTTGAGTTCTCTTCTATTCAATGGGAGTTTCCTGGTTAATACATAGATATCTTGATGATGTTAGTAGTCAATGAGAGTTTCCTTAGTTAATAATCACAAAACTGGAAACAACTCTTCTTTTGTAACGCTATTTTACAACGATCGGAAAAATTAAACTACAGAGTAAATCACGATCGCGTTTTGGTAAAGAGACGTTTCTAGTTGCTTCTGATTTGAAAAATCTGCGTTTTCACACATTATTCAATTGGAGAATCTTTAGAACTCAGACGAAGCAGCTTCTCCGGAATTTTAGGTGAACGTGGCAAGAAAAGGCCAAAAGAGAAAGCATCCACGTGTCCTTCCATTTACCGAATGCCACGTGTCCATCACAGTACCGACGAATCATTCCTTAACCATGGCTGCCTGAAAAAAGACAGAGTCCACAAGCTTCGGATTGTTCAGAAGTTTTCAAACAGCGTAAAGGTTTGAACTTTTGCTTTTTTTTTTTGAGAATACGATTCGAAGAACTCATCAAGAAGCTTCCTTTCACTGATCTCTCGATCCATTCTTAGGTAACCCACAATTCCAAAAAACGTTTTTTTTCTTTCGATTCCTTAGCTTTGGATTATGCTCTGATCCGCTGATTTTGCTTTTGCTTAATCGATCATCGGATCTGTTGTTGTAGTTTTCGCTAGTATGGAAGATTCTGGGGTGAATCCAATAGGTTCACCGTCTAAAAGCAGTGGATTTGGAGTTTATGGGATCATTGGAGGTGGAATTGTGGCTTTACTTGTACCTGTATTGCTCTCAGTGGTGTTGAATGGAAGCAAAAAGGGGAAAAAGAGAGGTGTTCCGATCAAAGTAGGTGGCGAGGAAGGTTACACGATGCGTCATGCTCGTGCTTCTGATTTGGTTGATGTTCCTTGGGAAGGAGCTACAACTATGCCTGCTTTGTTTGAGCAGGCTTGTAAGAAGCATTCGAGTAATCGGTTACTTGGGACTAGAGAGTTTATTGATAAGGAGTTTGTTACGGCTAGTGATGGGAGGAAGTTTGAGAAGTTTCATTTAGGAGAGTATAAGTGGCAAAGTTATAAGGAGGTCTTTGATCGTGTTTGTAACTTTGCATCGGGTTTAGTTAATGTTGGACATAATGTTGATACTCGTGTTGCTATCTTTTCTGATACTCGAGCAGAGTGGTTTATCGCGTTTCAGGTTCGTTCACCAGCTAATGGTTGCAGTTTGTTGTGTGGGTTTTGCTTGAATTTGTTTGATGAAATTGGTTTTGGTGTTGCTATATTTTTCAGGGATGTTTCAGGCAGAGTGTAACCGTTGTTACTATTTATGCTTCTTTAGGAGAAGAAGCTTTGATTTACTCACTCAATGAGGTTGGTAGGGGATGTTTTGGATGTGTATGTTTTTTTATTACTAAACTTTGTTGTTGGATCTCTAAATCTTGGTATCTGTATTGTTGACAGACTCAAGTATCCACCTTAATATGTGACTCAAAACAACTTAAAAAGTTGTCTTCGATACAATCAAGCTTGAAAACTGTGAAGAATATTATTTACATTGAAGAAGATGGAGTAGATGTTGCTTCTAGTGACTTCGATAGTATGGGTGGCATAACTGTTTCGTCGATCTCTGAAGTTGAGAAACTGGGGCAGAAGAACCCTGTTCAACCGATCTTACCTTCGAAGAATGGAGTCGCTGTTATAATGTTTACCAGTGGTAGTACTGGTCTACCAAAGGTGTGTGTTGTACTGTTACTTCTCTCTTAGTTATGTGGTTTGTTTCAAGTGCCATCTAGTTTTGTTTACCTGAATTCTTGAATGGCATACTAATGATTTGGGAAACCATATTTATTTTCTTCTAGCAAATATATCTCTGCAATTTGTTCTAACCTTATACTGTGCCCATCCACTCAGGGAGTTATGATTACCCATGGCAATCTTGTCGCAACTGCTGCAGGTGTTATGAAGGTGATTCCAAAGCTGGATAAGAATGACACATATATTGCATACTTACCTTTGGCTCATGTGTTTGAACTGGAAGCTGAGGTATGTTACTGTGTTCTTTCTCTCTCTCTTTTGACATACACTACCTTATTGTCTTACACTTTCTTACCAAATCATGGTTTCTTTTTCAGATTGTGGTCTTTACCTCAGGTTGTGCCATCGGTTATGGCTCAGCAATGACTTTAACTGACACTTCTAATAAAATTAAGAAAGGAACCAAAGGAGATGTTACAGTTCTAAAGCCAACTATTATGACTGCTGTTCCTGCTATTCTTGATCGTGTTCGAGAAGGAGTTCTGAAAAAGGTACCATCTTAGTGACAATAATGTTGTGTGTACTTTTTGGAGTTACTTACTAGATCAGTTATATTTGTGTACTTAATAATCTAGGTTGAGGAAAAGGGAGGGATGGCGAAGACCCTTTTTGACTTTTCATACAAGCGTCGGTTAGCAGCTGTGGATGGAAGCTGGTTTGGTGCCTGGGGTTTGGAGAAAATGATTTGGGAAACTCTAGTCTTTAAGAAAATACGCGCTGTACTTGGAGGACACATCCGGTTTATGCTCTGTGGAGGGGCTCCTCTATCACCTGATTCACAACGCTTCATCAATATCTGCATGGGGTAAGAAAATCCCCTGTGGTCTCACTTTTTACATTTTCATACGAGTCTTGTCCCATGTTAGGTTAGGAAAATGCCATTGAAATCGTTTGGATTGTGTTCACATCAATACTGACGTTGGTATGCTTGAACTTGAATCCGCTGATTCTTGTATGCTGACACTCATGTAGTTTGTGCTTGTCTGTATTCTTCATGCAACTTCACAATGCTGGGGCTTAGATTTTTTCCTGTTATTAATGCATTTTTTCTGTTAGAGCGCCCATCGGTCAAGGATATGGATTGACTGAAACGTGTGCTGGAGCTACGTTTTCTGAGTGGGACGACCCTGCAGTTGGCCGTGTAGGGCCTCCACTTCCATGCGGCTATGTTAAGGTTTGCAAACAATCTTTAATCAATACAATACGTTGACAATGTGTAGATCTTTGTAATCATGAGTAACAAAATTTCATCTTACAGCTCGTTTCTTGGGAAGAAGGTGGCTACAGAATTTCAGACAAACCAATGCCTCGAGGGGAGATTGTGGTAGGTGGTAACAGTGTAACAGCAGGTTACTTCAACAATCAAGAAAAAACTGATGAGGTTTACAAGGTAAAGCACAGTGTTGCATATTCCGGGAGTTTAGTTATTGGCTTGTTATATAGATTTCTGATGGTCATCATGACAAATTCAGGTTGATGAGAAGGGCACAAGATGGTTTTACACCGGAGATATTGGGAGATTCCACCCTGATGGATGTCTTGAAGTTATTGACAGAAAGAAAGATATTGTTAAGCTTCAACATGGGGAATACGTATCTCTCGGAAAGGTTTACCCATAAAACTTAAATTATTCGAATGAGGATGGTATGATATTATCCCCTAATGCTTTTTCATTTCATTGTCTGAATCAAAATTCACAGGTGGAGGCAGCTTTAGGTTCGAGCAATTACGTTGATAACATCATGGTACACGCAGACCCAATGAACAGCTACTGTGTAGCTCTTGTCGTTACATCACAAGGAGCATTAGAGAAATGGGCAGAAGAAGCCGGAGTTAAGCACAGTGACTTCGCTGAGCTATGCGAGAACAGTGAAGCAGTCAAGGAGGTTCAACAATCTCTTACCAAGGTTTGTATTTCACTAGCTGTATCAAGTTTCTCATACTTACACCAGAGTAACAAATGTATTTACAAACTGTTATCATTTCAGGCCGGAAAAGCCGCAAAACTCGAAAAGTTTGAACTTCCAGCAAAGATCAAGTTGCTGTCAGAGCCGTGGACACCAGAGTCAGGATTAGTCACAGCTGCTCTCAAGATAAAAAGGGAGCAAATAAAGGCCAAATTCAAAGATGAACTCAGCAAGTTGTATGCCTAAAAACTTTTCTTTGACTTTGTGATAAACTCCATATATTTTCAGTTTGGCTTTCCACTTTTCCTTATATCTACATTAATAAATATGGAGTTTTTCTCTTCTTGTCAATGAAATATTAGTATGAATACATTTTCCATCAGTAATGGTGGATTAGAAGAGAGTAAATCACTGTGGTACTGAATCCAAAGATATGCAAGGAGCTGAAGTAAATTTTTTCTGATAGAATAGAATCATATCATTAAAACAATGAATAAACTTCTCTATATAGTACAACAGAAATCCTCCGTATGATCTAGAATTAGTTTCCCTCTGTGAGCTATCATGTTCACTAACCGTATCATCAGCATTCATGCATCAGAAATTTGACTGTCTCTGAGAAACCTTCCTCGGCTTTTGGACAATCCGTGACAAGCGTCTTGTCATCGAGTGAAACCGTGCATGTTGTTATTGATTTGGTTCAGATGATGTAGAATCTTTGGGAGCTGTTGTCTCTGACAATGCTGGTCGTAGGAGAATATACAAAGAAGGTCCCAAGAATGGCACCACTGATACCGGTAAAAGCCAACTGCCTTTATCAAACCTGAAAAAGAAGCACTGTGTTCATACATATGGAAAGGGTTCTAAGTAAACGCTGTATATAGCTTTATTTAGAACTCACCATTTTCGGCTGGTCATGTCATTGTAAACCCAAAACGGAGCAAATGCAGAAAGTAAACAGAAATCAAGACTCGTAACATGAATCTGCAGTTTAGAAGGCAAGTTCTTTTACGTCAAATCTCAACAAAAAGATTGATTTGCATATCCGGAAAAAACAAGCTTATCGAACTTACGAATTTGCTCTCTCGAAAATACTGATAGAACTCTGTCCAATCACCGGCATTACCAACTACTGAATAAAGGATTATACCTAATCCTGCAACAAGAGTTACCTGATGCATAACCATGTCAACTCCAAGTACTGATAACCAAAAAGGCCAGACATGAATCAAGATTACCAAAGAAGGAGAGATCTTTTTACCCCAGCAGTTATTTTTGATTCAAGAACATTCAAAGGCCATTGTCTTAGTTCAGTCTCTGAAACAGGAGGAGAAGGAGGATTCCACAGGGCAAAATAAGGTAACAAAGCGTATACACCACCGAAAAACGAAAGCGCAACAAAAGGCCACGCCGGGGTTTTACTGTCCAACAAAGGCATCTATCAGTTAGCTACACAATATGAAATGGATTCACTTGAACAAACTCTAATATGGTATTCATAGAATCACAAAAACTCATAACTGTCTTTCAATTTTGGTCAGAAGAAGCCATAAAAATGATACCTTCGACCAGTGGGAAGCAAGAGCATGCCATATACCAAAGGCCACAAACCCATTATATACCATAACCCAACAAGTATCTGATTCATCCTAAAACCATCATCACTCTTCAAATTCAATAGCTTTTTCAAAAAGTACAAGTCTTGCGTCTGCAAAACACAAAAAAAAACCCAAAATTTGAACAATCTGAGAGCTCAATGTGAAGTTTTCACCATAAAGGCCTTAGCTTGGTTTGCGTACCGGTGTCTGATCAGGAGCGAGATTGAAGCAATAGTACAAAAGCGCACCCCAAAGCGCAAAAAGCAAAATTGAGCTAGACCAGTCTCGTCCTTCATCTTGAACTTGAGATTTCTCTGGTTCTGGGTTGTTTAAAGAGCTTTTGCAGAGATGGAAGAATGTGTCTTTCCTCTCGTATTTGGGGAGAAGGGAGATTCTATAGGATTTTGGAAATGGTGAAGAAGATTTTGATTGTAGAAGAAGAAGGTTAAGGTTTGGGGATTGGGTTAAGGTGTGAGGCCGTGTGGAAGAGGGTTTCAGAGGAGGAAGACGAGTGAAGTTGCAGGAGATGAGGCTAATGCTTTCCAACATTTTTTTAGACAAAAATGATGGATTTATGATGATCACTCATAGAGTCATCATAGTCATAGGTGTGTGTATTTATATAAATTTTTGTGTAAAATTTTTATATATTGATTAAAAATATATTGTTAAAAAATTACATTACATGATTTACATCTATCTAAATTAGGGGTTTTATTGAACATCAGAATTTAATTGAATACAGTATGAAAAAAAAAAAAATCAAATGCTGATGTTATTTTAATTGATTGATTTTTTTTTTGTTTTAATAAAATTAATTTTATTCAATATGGTTTTGATAATAATATCATTTGGGGGAAAAAGTTAAAATCATTAGGAACCAATACCTAGATTTTATGCCCTAATTTGGGTAGAATTAGTTGTAAATTACTGTTTCATTTAATTCTTCTAATTTACCTTAAAGATTTATTTAAATTTAATGTAGTTGAATTTAATATTTATATATAAGCATTCGGTTTACTAGTCGTAAAGTATGTAGACCTCGAACGGTAATTCTTTTTGGGTGCAATTGCGATTTGAGTGTAGAAACGAAATGATTAGGGAACAATTCAATATATATATGTGTGTGTGTGTTTAGATAGCATAATTGGAATTTCATAGGATAAACAAATCGATGTATGCAAAACATCTTATACTCCTTCCGTTTCAAATTAAGTGTCATTCTAAACTTCATGTTTTGTTTTAAAATATGTGTCGGTTTGCATGTTCAATGCAAATGTTTTTGATAATATTTCCAGATTTATCTTTATTATTTAATGTATTGTCCAATGAAAAATTTTGTATGATAAATTAATATGGGATAAAATATAATATTTAATGGCTTTCTTAAGAAATGTGAAAAAAACATAGAGTGACACTTAAATTGAAAAGGAGTATTAAACTTAGTCATGTCGGTCCCGGACACGAGCCCATTAATTTGGGTTTGGGACACTGTATTTAATTGTTATATGGCACTATTTTTATACTCTCTAAGTGTTTTTTTTTTTTTTTTTTTTTTTTTTTTTTGCTTATAATTCAGTAGAGATCAAACTTATCTCCATTAATCTGCAGAAATATTAACAAATCATGCTTTCTGGAGTTCGAGCCCCATACCTATTGGTATATTATTAAACCCTTGATCAACATCATTGGACCAAGGGAGCTTCTATACTATCTATGTTCTTTAATAGATGATTTTTTTTTACTATTGCATACTAATTAAGACATTGTTTACTTTTCTTATATTTTAAACAAAAAATTATTTAATATCTACCTAAACAATATTCAACCAATAAAAATAACGTGTATAATATAAATTGTTTAAACAAACAAAAAGCTGATTAAATTTACATAGATTTTTTAGAAAGCAATATATTTTATAGAAAAAAACAAGCCTATAAAATCAACTATTAAAGACCAGAGGGAGTATACAAATAATTTTGTCAAGTTTCACGAAGACTTGAATATCATAATTCTCAGTTTATAACTTTTGAAAATAATTTTATCAAAATTAAATCTAACAAATTATCTATGTTTCGAACACAACATTTTAGCAAAATAAAGATCCTTCAATGATATTGCAACTTTCTAACATTGTCGAATCTGAATATGGACGAACACTTGACTTGACCATATTCAAGTGTTCCGCTTTCATACAAGCAACCTATCAATGATCTCCAAAGGGGAATCAAAATTATTGACTGCACAAGTTTTCTGCAATTCAAATGTTTTGAAATACTAAACTATCATCGATAAAAACAGTCCGCTCTCGAGTTTATAACTTGTGAATATTAGTTTATTGAGAAGGATTGTATACTTCCCTGGAGCCACTAAATGATCAAAGTTTTCATATTATCAGTTAAAATGAATTAAACTGTTCGAGTAGTATTTCTCGTTGTTTTTTTCTAAAAGATCTCGTCAAAAGTATAATCAATTATCTTGTCATATAACATGATTGATATTTTGTTCCACGCCAAAATATCAAGTTTTGATTATGCCGATTCATTTTTTCCTCATACTCTACCTTAGAGAGAGTTACTTGAAATTATTTATATCACAATCCTTAATAATTCGAAAAATATCTGAGAATCTCAGAGAAAGACTTTTGACATCCCATTCCTTAGCGGCTAGTTCGACAAATTCGGTACACATGTTTCCAATCACATCCAGAAACATATGATGTCCCTCAAAAGTTTAATGAAAGCACTAAAAATATTTAGTTTCAATTAAAATGAGCAAAAATAAAATCAAAATGTTGACATAAATATATATATATATATATATACATATAATACACCGTAAGTTTAAATCATTATCTTAATATTGAAATTTTGAGGAAAAAAAATTATAATATTGAAATTGTTTTAGTTATGCTGATAAATAATTATAATAATGAGAATAATCTTCTTAGTTATTTGGCGATCTTTGGTTATAAATTTTGTTTATTCTTCTTGATTTTTTTCTCCTTGAACTTGTTGTTTTAAAAATTGATCTATCTGATACCAAGTTCGAAATACTTATGGGGAACTTTATTATATATTTGGCATTAAATATCTAACATTGTCCAGAAAAATAATGTTAAATAAACTGAAAAGTGTACCATAATTGTATTAAAAAGTGCATCATGTTCCTAACCGTCTGTTTTAATAGTTTGTAGCAAATATGTGATCATTGTACAAATTGGTTGTATTTCAATAACTGGCTCGAGAATTAGAGGTTTCAAAACTAACCTTATGGTAGAGCCTCGATACTGTTTTTGACCTTTGCGAGTTTCTCTAGTCTAGTGTGTTCTTTACATGATATGGAGACATCTCTCCTTCATTAGGGCATTTTTTTATTGCTTTACCACATGAGCATTCTCTTCCTCGTTGGCATGGTAGTTTCTAAATGGTTAGTCCAAAGACAAACATGTTCCTTACTCAAATTATCCTTCATTCCTCAACCAAGAACTTAATATCGCAAGAATCCTTAGGATCCCTATACATATACAAAATTTGGCTAGGACTCTTGCCAATACATATACAAAATTTGGTTAAGACTTCACCTGCCAAGATTCTGACCAGAGAAGAGAAGTCTTACCAACCTAAATAGTGTAGTAGAATAGTAAAACAACAAAGCCTACGACTAGACCAGTCTCTGCTTATACTTTGTTTTCACCAACCACTTGCAAGAAAAAAAAACTCAGCCGTCTTAATTACGTTGGTGATCTTATTAGCCACACGTGCTAATCACACCAACAACCAAAAAATAGTCAATAATCCAAATTCTTGACTTGCTTCTATAAAAACTTTAACTTTGACCATAAATTACAAAACCCATTTGAATTTTTCCTTCTTGTGTCTGTTCTTGATTTTTTTGGTTTCAAAGTTCGAAACTTTTTTTTGTTTCTCGGCAATGGAGGGATTAGTACCGGTACAGAGACTTCCGGTTAGAGTGGCTTCACCTTCTCTGTATCGGTGTGGTAACGTTTCTGTCTCAATCAAACGTTCACTTTCAGGTTTCGCCATGGACAGAAGGATCAGGTTCACGGCTCCGTCGCAGTTCTCGATCCGGGCTCAACAGGTGCGTCCAAATTTGTTCCCTTTCTCGATTTCTATGAACACCCTTAAATAAAGTTTGAGTCTTTCGTTTGATTCTGTGTGATTTGTGGCATTTGATGTTGTCTACTGTCTAGATTGAACCCTAGCTGGAATACAAATTGGGTTTTTTCTGATTCTATCAATCTGTTGCTGAAAGGTTTTGCCTTTTTTTGTTGTAGTCGGATTTGAAGGAAAGCTTAGTTGTGTCTTCTTCTTCTTCAGTAGAGGACAAAGGAAATGCTCTTAGGATCAAGGAATGGGAAGTAGAGATGTATCAGGATGAAGTAGCAATTAGCCAAGGTATTAGGATAAGGAGAAAACCACCAACCAAGGCTCCTTTGGGGTATACTGGACCATTTGAGTTGAGATTGCATAACAATGATGCTGATTCTCCTCGTAATATCTTGGAGGAGATTACATGGTACAAAGATGTAGAAGTTTCTCGGGTATAGATTTTTCTCCTTACAAGACTTTTCTTTTCAGAGAGGAGATTACATGGTTCTTAATGTGATTGTTGTCTTTTCGCTTTTCAGATGAAGGAGCTAAACCCACTTGATGCGTTGAAGAAAGCTGTTGAGAATGCTCCTCCAACCAGGGATTTTGTTGGGGCTCTTAGGATGGCTCAGGAAAGAACTGGGTTGCCTGGCTTGATAGCTGAGGTTAAGAAGGCTTCACCAAGTAGAGGGGTCTTAAAAGAAAATTTTGACCCGGTATGTGATGGTGGTTTCTGTTTCTTTCTGTAATGTCATTAGATCTTGATCTCGAATTGAGTTTTTGAACTTTGATTAAGCGAGTAAGGTTGAGTCTTTTCAATAAATAAAAGGATTGCAGCATTATTAAAATTTGCAGTTTGGCCTTGGGAAGTAGATCAACATTTTTTCTTTTGAATGTTTCCAATATGATTTGCTATTATATTTCTAATCTAGACCTGTCAGGTCTTCATGATTCCTCCGGCTGTGTTGCTAATGCTTATGGTTTTACAGGTTGAGATTGCTCAAGCTTATGAAAAAGGTGGAGCAGCATGCCTCAGCGTTTTAACAGACCAGAAGTATTTCCAGGTTTACTTGTGTATTCAGTTGTAGATATCTTATCCACATTTGCAAAAAGTTTTTAACATTTGTAGTTCTTATCTCGATGTTGTTCAATAGGGAGGCTTTGAAAACCTGGAAGCAATAAGGAACGCTGGTGTGAAGGTATTTTCTTAGCAACTTCTGATGTGTTTAGTACTTGATAATCAACACATTGTGTAACCAATGCTTTTCAATTATTGCAGTGTCCACTATTATGCAAAGAGTTTGTCGTAGATCCATGGCAGATCTACTATGCTCGGACTAAAGGTGCGGATGCAGTATTGCTTATTGCTGCTGTATTGACTGACCTAGAAATAACCTACTTGCTTAAGATTTGCAAGAATCTTGGTTTGGCTGCCCTTGTTGAGGTATCTTTCCCTGCTTTGGTTAAATGTTGATTGCTTGACATAATTATGCGTCTTTAAAGTTCGTATTATTTTTGTTTTTCTCCTAATATGGTTGTCCATAAAACAGGTACATGATGAGAGAGAGATGGGCCGTGTGCTTGGAATAGAAGGGATCGAGCTCGTTGGCATCAATAACCGAAGTCTTGGTAATGCAGCTTTTGTACATATTGCTAGTTCTGATATCTTTTCTCATAGACCGAGTTCACGTAGATTTGATTCATATTGTCAAAAGTTTTGTTCAGTTGAGGAGTCTCACAAATAAAAGTTTTTTGTGTTTCAGAAACATTTAAAGTAGACATCAGTAATACAAAGAATCTTCTTGAAGGAGAACATGGTAGACAAATTCGTGAGAAAGACATGATTGTAAGTACTTCCACTTTCCATTCCTGAATTGGTGTCTGTCAATTGCTCAAACATAATCCTGACTCCTGTTCTGTACGTTAAGGTGGTTGGCGAGTCCGGTTTGTTTACACCTGATGACATTGCTTATGTACAAGCTGCCGGAGTTAAAGCGGTAAGCTTTGACAATTATATATTAAAACATTTGGCTGCTTGGAAAACCTCCCCAAGCATTAATCAGATGAACAATTCGCTTAAATACTGAATTACGAGCTTTCAGGTTTTGGTTGGCGAGTCCATTGTGAAGCAGAGCGATCCTGAGAAAGGAATAGCTGGACTTTTTGGCAGGAACATCTCTCATTCTTAGAAACCACATCTCCAAATATGTTTACTAGTACATTTGTTTGTATCTTGTTCTGTGGGGATTGAGAGTAAAGACTAGAAAGGCTTTGTATCTTGTTCTAATGTTTCAGACATTTTCAATAACCATCAATCAAATAAGTTGAATAAAGATTGATCTAAGCCATGGAACCCCAAGCCAACAGAGAAATAGCAATATTATGTTGTCATAACTCACAAGTGAAGAATACAACCCATCACACCAATACATAGAAACGATATTGTTGTTATCTAAATACATTCATCCTTGCAAAACAACCGGAGTCACTAAATACACCACTCCAAACATTTCCGACCAGAATCCAAAAGTGACTGTCATGGCTTCTCAGACAAGCTCCAGTCTTCTTGATGCAGTATGATTTTTAGATATAGATAAACGACCTTCCAAAGGCAAACACTTGTCCACTTATTCTGCGCCAGTGGATTTTATACAGCAAAACCATTTCTTCTGCAAATTATGCAATAAACAGCATCAATCATATATCCATACAATAAGATGATTAAGAGAAGAAAAAAGATGACCAGAGAGGCTGCGGCTTACGGCGGGTTTCTCAAGAACCTCCCCGTTTTTATTATATCCAGGTTCATCTCTCCCTGGTGAGTCGGATTTACCACCTCCCTTTTTCTCGTTTCTAGCTTTGTTGAAGATAACAGTGAATCCCTCAGCTGATGAAGGGTCATTTACATCCCATTCGCCAAACTTTGGCAACGGGCGGCCCTTGTCCTACACACAATCCAAACGTCAAAACATTTTCAGTCATCCGAATGTTCAAGACAATGAGTTCTAAACGCCAACACTCGCACCAAAATCCATTGAAAAAAGTCTTCATTACTACTTATATGTTGTCTAGATGGTTAACTCATATGATATAAGTTTTCGATCGAAAAGTAAACAGTACACAAGCCTCTATGCCCAACACGACAACTCGTAAACACACAAAAAAGAGGCAAAAGCTTCAGTAAAGTAATCTATAAGCAAAGTATATTGAAATCAAGAAAATGATATGCACATACAACAAAGTCATTCATCTGATCATCTCATTAACCCTATGCACTGTTCAAGATATGGTTGCAAAGATCATACAAAGACTTTCTCTTTCTCTATTCACTAATCTAGAATAGTAAATTATAAGACCAGAGATATTATGACACATAAAAAAAACCAATACTTTCTCACCACCAAAATCTGCAGAAGACACAACAAAGTATTGATTTTTTTCGAACAGTAACTTCAAATCCATACAAAAGTTTTAAACTTTTGTAAGATCAAGACAAGAAAGGTCCATCTCCAACAAGCAAAAACCATTGTTATAGAATCAAAGAGTCCAAAGGTAAATCTCAAAAAACAAATCCATGAGAACAATCAGAATAAAAAAGTATCAAACTTTTTTAACAATTCCATCAAAAAGCAAAAAAAAAAAAACAAGAAATCACAAGAACATCAAAACCAAAAGATGTGAGGCCTCAGAAACAAGAAATCTCATAGATTAAGAATATCGAAAAAGAAAAGAGATGGAGAAAGATCGTACTGCCATGGATTAAAAGAAGAGCTGAGCTGAGATGCGTTGTGGTGGTGGTCGTCTCCTTCCTTCCTCTGGTTCTCCCTTTCAACTTTTGTTTTATCTTTTCTGGTGAAAGCTTTGAGGATGAGGCGAAAAAGAAGGAGCCATAGAATCTTGGGCCTTCGTAGGCCCATTATGTCGTCTCATCTCAACACTCAACAGACACATTTTTTAATTGCACTGAATCAATTTTTAAGCTTAACCAATTACATAGAAGTCCAAATTGGTAAGAAGAAGTGGGAGAATTTATTTATTTTTATTTTTTTCTAGTCTCTTATTTCATTGATGCGTAGTAGGAAACTTATGTTATTTATGGATTTTGTGGTTATTATAGAAAGACTGAAATATAAAAAAATGTTCAAAGGAATTTAATTAAAGCCATTAGATATCATCAATCAATCAATTTTTTTTTTTTTGACATTGTCAATCAATTTCTTAATGAATAAGTATTATGGGAAGAATCTCAATTTGATGCCTCGTTACCTTTGAAACCTTATCTTCCTTTTTTCCTAACTATTCATTGTCGAATTGATGGTTCGTGAAAAGCTTCAAATCTATTTACAGGTTTAGGTTGGTAGTAATGTCATAAACGAAGTCCATCCCCCTTCACTTGGAGATGAAAACTTTATTATACATTATTTCGTTAATAATTTTCTTTACTTAATACAATATTTTGTTATACAAATCTTTATTATACAATCATTTGCAATCACTTTCTTTATTGTACAATATTTTGTTAATACAAACTTTTATTATATAATAATTAAAATATGGGTAGTAGAAAAATTCTTGAATAGGACATTTAAATGAGTTTTATTTATGTGTTAAATTAACACGATGATATTTTTGATGTGAGACGTATTAATTAACTTTTTTATCGTTCATATTCGATTTATGTTTTTTTGTGTATACCAACAACAAATAAGTAATTTGATTAGTGTAAGACTAGAAATATATTGTGGATCATCATAATTAAATATATTTTATTTCATACTTTAAAAAGTAAAATTTGACATCAAAAATTATTATTATCTAGAAAATAGGAGAAACCATATTTTTATGCTAAACAACAACATTCAACACCACCAACTAAATATCTTTCTAAACATTTTCCCTCTAAGAAATGTTGTTCTATGCAATATGCATTGCACTTCTCTGTTGTTGTACAATCCATCCCAGTACAATGTTTGATTAGTCTTTCCCTATTGGTTTCTCCTATTTGATTCATAAACAAAATTAAACATGTTATAAATAAATATATAACAATGGCTCAAGTGATAATTTTATAGTAATTCAAAAATAATCGAATGTATTATTAATTACCTGCATTTACGGGATTAGAGATGAGCAAAAACATCATCATCAACGATAGTAATAGAAGAGATGAACACTTGGTGATGGCCATTAGATCAAAGACTAGGAAAACAAAAAAAAAAAACAAGATTCATAATCAATAATATAAGATGAACATATATTCGACATTTCTTATAAAATTGGATATATTTAGGATTTACCTTCGTGTTTATGATACTCTAATGTTTATTGTGAATGTTTTGTATTGGTCTTGTGTGTGCATTTATATAGATATAGATATATACTTACACACATACATATATAGTTTAATAGGTCTTCCATATATAATATGTATTGAAATCATCTTTTTATTAATAGAATTTTCCATATCAAAAAGAGTTGAATTAATAATTTATTTTACTAAAATTATATATGTTCCCACAAAATATTGGAGTCATAAATTTTAAAAATTGGTATCTTGACACTATTACAATATTGTATGATTTTGTATTCAATGTTTTTAACAATTCTTATAAAACTGAATGATTTACCTTTAATATTCAGAATGATTTAGATTTCTCTTATGTGTACATTTATATAGATATAATATATACTTACACACCTATACACACATACATATTATTTAATAGGTGTCCATATTATGTATATATTGACTAATATTTCTTATAGAATTTTCCATATCAAAAATTTGAGTTGATAGTTTTCTTTTTCATTAGTGAAATGATTTGTTCCCAAAAAATGGTTAAAATTAATGACTTGATTTTAATTTGCTTGACTTCTTTGTTGATAAAACCGTATCCTCTATCAAGTCTAAACGTTGCTTGATTGATGCTTTGGGGATCCACGTTTATTGAGAAAACATCATATCATGCGATCTTGAGAATCTTGATACACTTTATTGTCGAACTTTATTGGAATTGAATCATCAAGAAAACATATATCACACGAATCCAACAATCAAACCCTAGAAAATTCCATGATTCATTGACAACCCCATGCAAAGAGTCTGGATCAAGAAAGATATAAATTAAATAGAGTGAACTTCACTCATTCTTGGCCAAGATTCTCAAGCTACCAAAACTACTAACAAGAGTCTCGCATGCAAGAATATTTTCATGAAAGACTTTAACTGTAACACCATCACTGCAACACTCTAATCAAAACTGATATATTGAAACATATAAATATCTAGCTACATTCAAGATGTGTGGATGTGTGTTGATGTCTTCTCCTACATGCCTAGCATGCTAATTAATGCTTCCATTGAGATCAGTTCTTTGTGTTAAAGAAGAACTGAGAGGTAACAAGTTAATAACTTCTTCTTATCTTGGTTCACCTTATCTTGGAGCAGTTAGGGAAGTACAATAAGAGTCTGATGTGAGTATTAAGGCCAAAAAAAAAAATATCTAGCTTCATGTTTATATAACGAAAACTGTGATATATTTACTATGTGAGTTGCAATCAACTTTTGAAATCAAGAAACAAGACTCAAAGATCTTGAATGCTAAGGTTATGCTCTCTTCTTGTGGGTTTTTTCTAAGTGGATGTCAATTGAGGATTTGTAACAACCCATCCCTTGCCTAATACCATCGCCGAGATGATATAAAGATTAACGCCTAACTAACACCTGTTAATTGCTTGTTATCGGACTTACGACATGTTGTTTTTGGCTTGGTCAACTTTGTTTCATGTTTTAAACAGTAAGTTAATGTCTATGTATTATTTAAATAGTCTGCCTGGAAGTTGCTGGTTTAATTGGCCGAAATGACTCGGTTCATGTATTTAATGACATTTTTCCCATAGAGAATCTAGAATTTTTTAATATTAACCCATAGCATAGTATTTTTTTTGCTAAAATATTTTGCAAAGCACGCACTTATGACATGTCAAGCTCATATAATGCATACAAATTTCTTTTTGTTTGATGTAAGAGTCGATCTAAATTTTAGATAGTTTGCTTACTTTTTTTAATTTCATTTTACTCGATGGGATCTAATATTTCTATTTTTTCGTTTACTTTGAATAAACCTTGTTTAATCAGACGATGCCACCATAATCAACGGATTAACTTGGACGGGATATTCAAGCATGAAGAGAGCTCAATCCAGCAAAGGAGGATACCTACACCATTTTCGATTTGTTTTATCCTTTGTCGTAGGTATTATGCTTTATTTCGTCTTCACCAAATTTCGATATGGCGGTCTTCCAAGATAGATTTTAAAATTTGATTTTATCTTTTAATATGAAAAAATTGAGATTTTAATGTATTTCAACTTTTTATTTCCTCGTTTTTGGTAAATCACATTTTTTAGAATGTTGGATTTCGTACGTGAGAAGAGAAAACGATAATAAAAGGGAGATTATAAGTAGTATTTATGGAGCATGTTTTTTGGTGGTAATAAAAACTAATATAAAACATATACAGTGTGTCAAAAATATTAGCCTTTTAGTATGGAGAGCTTATTGTTTTAGAACTCATAAGATTAATATACCAATTGATTATTTTACGTTTATAGAAGATGGTATATTATCTATATATATAATATGAGAATTCACTCTCCATCTAGGCTATCCACATCAGCATCCACCTCATTAATATTTTTTTTAAATTAAATATATTTAAAATATTTATTTAATGCATATTAATGTACTCATAATTAATAGAAAAATTAATTAAACATAAAAGAATTAAACTAAGAAAAGAGAATTAAACTAAATAAATAAAATTTTAAAATCCTAAATATTGTTAAAATGTTATTAGTAATGTTCATATTTTCAATGATTTAATGTGTTAATGAGTTAATGAGAATTATAATGGAAGAAAAATATTAAATGCATAGTAGAGTAAAAATAATGACTATATATATAAACCTTATAAACAAGAAAAATTTAAAGTGAAATATTAGTTGGAAATAGAAACTCACCGAACATTACGAGCCGATAAGCGTTGTCGTTAATATCTCAACGTAAAAATATTATTAGTTTACTTGAGCAATTTGCATTATATTACATTTAGTTATTTTTTATATGTAGCTAATTTTGGGATAACAAACGACCAACTTTTGTCCAAATTTGAATTTGGTCATTCTTTGTTCCAAAATTAATGAATGATGTCCATTATTGGGTGTACTAATCATTATTTTGAATTTCAACACATCCGAGTTTGAATTTAGTCATTCTTTGACATCCAAAATGATGTTTAATTTAGATATGATTTATTGGTGTATGAAATTTCAATGATATTCTTGAATATATAAAAAAGTTTTTGCACTTTTTCTGGTGCAAAAAAACTTGAAAATTATAGAACATTATATTTCATCTTCTATAAACGTAAAATAATCAATTGGTATATTAATCTTATGAGTGAGTTCTTTTTTTATGAGTGAGTTCTAAAACAATATATAAGCTCCTGCTCAATATATGTTAATAATCAGGTTGTTTTTGCCACCGATTGTGTATTCAACATCTTTTCAAAAGCTATTGATGCTAGCCTTGGTTGTGATTACAAGTTCGAACAGGTAAAACTTCAATTTTTTTAATATTAATGGAATCTAAAAGTCTTTCTAAATATCTTATAATATTTGATTGCTTTTTGTTGTAGGGTCGTGTTCGTGGAGCGATAGGTGACTACATCTGTTATGTTCGAACAACGCTTTGAGGGCTTTAAATGCCTCATTGTGGGCAGGCTGGAACCAAAGAGTGTTGTCAACAAGTTTAGTGTAGGTGCCGTAGTAGGATGTGAGTAAATGTGTTGGTGCTGTTAGGATATAAGTAATTGTGAAGATAATATGAAAAATCGGAATTGTTTTCAGAATGTTTACAAGAATAAGAAAAAAGTGACCAAGCGATGCTACTCATTGGAAAGGTTTGTTTATAATGACTAATGAGTACTACTTTTTTGACAGAGATTTGTTTACACCAATATGAGTAGTACTTTTATCATAAGCAAAGTCTACCATGAAAGACTTTGTTTAATGATTAATTGGAATATAAGCAGAACGATGACTTACACATGATGACATGAATGGTTATTACAGTAGCATGCAATGAACACTTTGATAATTAGGAGGACAAAAAATAAAAAGATTAGATGAGTCGTTGGTGATATATGAACCAACATACAACATTCTTTTTGAATATTCTACAAGTGAATCGTATATGAAGATGAAGCTTAATTAATTCTCATTTTAGTATCAGTATCACAATCATAATAACTTGTACAAAATTTTAACTGATCAAGTAGGATATATTATATGATTTCTATATAAAAAAGCCAAATTTTCCAAGCCAAAATCAAAATCTTTTAATATTAAAATAGATTAATTTTATGCTTATTTGTCAGTCAAGTTCTCAATTATTCCCCAACTTTTTTTCTTTTCTCAGTTATTTAATTAGAATACCTTTCTTACTAAACAATATTATTTCAATATATTATATATTCTGATTATTTTAATAGTAATTTTCTCAATTTTGAAACACATAAAAATCTTTTTTTTTGCCTACCACACATTAACTAAAATATTACTCTATGATTGATAGCCCAAATATGAGAAAAAAAGTTTACAAAAGTAACTTTCGAAACAAAGAATCTAGATGAACGAATTATAGATTGTTCTCTTTAAAATTACAAGAACAAAAAATCTTAGATAAGAAAATTACATAAGAATTTGACATACCGAACTAATTACTTTAATAATTCGAATTTTAGATCTTACCACTTATTATGAACAATTTTTATTTATTTATAAGCATCATTAATACATTTAGAAAGAAAAAACACACTAAAATTATTTTTTCTTAGAAAATTTTATAATTAAGAAATCCATAAATAGATATTTAATAATCCCCCTACTAATTAAACATAGGATGAAACAAAATTGTTAATTTTGAATAAAAATAAGAGATAATTGCACTTACAATCACTTTTGACAAACATATTGTTCAGTTAGTAACTTTGGAGATGTAGCCTAATAAAGTTGTCATATTAACTAATTGAATTAATGATAAATTTTTTAGATATCTTTTGTACTATAATTGCTAGATTGCTTTTTGAATATGAATATTTCTTATGTGAAAATAAGAAATTTATGTGGTGTAGAATGTTTATTCGCATGATTTTAGCAAACAAATATTTAATTATTGATTTATTTAAATTTGATGATATGATCAGTTATGTATATATACTATGTAGAATTTGATTAGTTGATTATTTCATATGCTAACATATTTTTTATCATTTTATTTTTTCTAAAAAAATGTTATCTTTGTTTTTTTAATATATGATGATTTTGTTCTATTAGATTTCATTCTATATAAATTATTAATTTCGAAATTATATTAAAATATTAAATTAATATTAAATATGTTTATGTATATTCAAAATGGGGGAATTTCAAAAATACCCCTTTTCCAATACCACTTTTTAAAAATACCCCTCTTTCTAATTTTCTCAAAAAGTCATTATAAAATTTGAAATTTTTCAAAAACATACGTGTAAGCTTATATTTGTAGACAAAAATTATCTTTATATGTGTGTAAATTTATATATATATATATATATATATATATATTTTAAATACCGTTTACATACCTTTTAAAAATCATTTAAAAACCTTATAAAAACTGTGTAAACATTTTAAAAACCTTATAAAAACCTTATAAATGACGTTTAGAACCCCTTAAAACCTTATAAATATTTGGATTTAATCTCCCAGTAGTAATGATGATCTTGATTTACCTTATCAACCATATAAAAGTTTATAATTTTTCATATTTGAAAAGGGGTATTTTTGAAAATGGATAAAAAAGAGGGGTATTTTTAAAAAGAGGTACACCAAAAAAGGTATTTCTCAAAAATTCTCATTCAAAATAGATATGTTTACATATATTTAATTTTAAATTTAATTGTCCACTTTTTATGGTAAAATATTATTATGATTTTCATAAATATAGATAGTTTTTGTTTTTGTTTTTTTTTTTTTGCTATCATTAATTCTGTTTGGCAACTGGAATATATTTCATGAAATTTTTTTCTAAAATTGGGGGTGTTTGGATTCAAGTTGTCATTCCCAATTAATAGTATAGATAAAATAATTACCTATTATAAAATTATCACCTAGTTTTTAATTATTTAATACTTCAAATTTGTAAATTATATTATTAATCCCGTCTAATACATAACCAAAACCGAACCAGTGTCTTCAATCTCGCCCCATTCGAAGTTATTACCATGTGTTTTGGTCTGAGAGAGACTCCGTTGACGGAGCAAGATGGTCCAACCACCGAATCGTCTCTCAATAGAAAAAAAACCCATTGTTTTTGGATTTACTCGTTCCACGAAAGTTCTAAGGGAAAGGAACTTTCAAATCACTATCAAAGTCTTCTTCTTTGGATATGTATATTAAAAACCCTAATATGTCTCCCTCCGTTCTTTCCTTACAGATAACTCAAGTCTCTTCCAAGGTTTTTCTTATCTCTTACTTGCATTTCACTTTTGGTGTCTGAATTTTGGAATCTCGATTTGAATGGTCGACATGGGTTTGACAAAAACATTTCTTTTCTTTGTGTTTTGTTGTCAAAGATACAACCTTTTACTTGGATACTGCATCATGGACGGTGAAGCTCAGCAAATCTCATTACTTGATGGGAAAGAAGACAAGTTTGATGGTGTTGTTGTGAATTTGATGGAAGTGGTGTCCATGACTGTTGACGATTTTGATGCAAAGCTTGATTTTTCACTTCGTACATGGAAGGGTCAGGTATAAAGAAAGGTTCTTTCTTTACAATGCTACTGAGGATGCTGCTTAGATCGTTTCTAAAGATATGGACCTCTGGATTTAGACAGAACATCTCTCAAGTTTGGTGTCTGTTGTGAGAGTGTCTTTATGTTTCTGTTTAAAGTTTATTGTTTTTTCTGTTTCTATTGCCAATGACTTGACGTTTGGGAGATGGATTTTTAGGGGAAGAAGGGGATTTGGATAAAGCTGCCTCGTGAGCTTTCTAGTCTTGTTGATACGGCAATTAAGGTTAGAAGATGTTAGTGTTGTGTTATGTTTTGTTTTTGTTTAGCTTTAGTGATTGAGATCTGTTTGGTGATATGTTTAGAAAGGGTTTACATACCACCATGCCGAGAAGGAATACGTGATGCTTACATCTTGGCTCAGGGAGCCACCTAGTACTCTTCCTGCCTATGCTTCTCATCGTATTGGGATTGCTGCTTTTGTCCTAAACAAGAACGGAGAGGTAACAAGATACTTTGTTTTAAATTTCTCCTGGCCTATCACTTTGAATCTAAATGGACTGAACCTTGATATACAACTTTCCATTTCCAGATGCTCGTGGTTCAAGAGAATAGTGGATATCTCAAAGATAAAGATGCGTGGAAGGTGCCTACCGGTACTATTAAAGAGGTGAGTTTATGGGATCTTATCATATCTTTGTGTGTGTGTAAGCTTATGTTTGTTGCCCTACATGAATATTAACAATTTCATAAGAAGATTTCAAAGCTTAGTAATAGCTAATAATCTCTACCCTCACTATGCTAATGATAACTAGATAACTAGTTAAGAATAAAGGGTATACCAGATAATCAAAGGAACCACTGTGTTATGTCTGTATTCATCGATTACGTTATAAAGAATGCCTAAATTTAAGCATGTCAGCTTGGTACAGACTATAAAGATTTAGTAACACGTTGATTCCATTAACGAGGCTACAAGATCTCTTGATTTGGATATGTTTTTGCACTTTTCTTGGATATCTAGGCTAACTGAAAATTTCAAATCACCAGGGTGAGAGTATATGGGCTGGGGCAATCAGGGAAGTGAAAGAAGAAACTCATGTACGTATTCGTCTCCAAAACCCGGCAAATAGTTCAAGTTTTTGAGTTTTGTATCGAAAGAGTAAATCCAATTCTGTGTTTTTTTTTTGGTCTTTTGCTTCAGATTGATACAAAATTTGTAGAAGTCCTGGCTTTCAAGTAACAAAAGATCTCTTCAATGCTTATTTCATTAGGTAAACCACTGATTATTTGCATCTGACATCATACTGGTTGTGTTCTCACAGGGAAAGCCACCAAGCAGTCTGGCAAAGAAAAACGGATATATTTTTCGTGTGCGAGTTGGAAGCAAGCACGTTTGAAATCAAGAAACAGGACTCTGAGATCTTTGCTGCTAAGGTAAATGTTTTATATATACTTCTTGATAAATCTGAACCAAGCAATGGTATTTCTTGACCGCTCGGCTCTCTTCTTGTGTGTTTTCTTAGTGGATGCTGGTTGAGGAATACGTAAACCAGCCCGTTCACGCCGAGGAAGGGAATGAGATGTTTATGTTAATAGCTAACATCCTTTTAAAGAGGTTTCAGAAGGAACACATGGGTTTCCAAAATGTCCACACTACAAAATCATTGAAGGAGAGCCTTTACAGCAGCGTCGATCATTCAGCCAAACATCTGAGCGAGACGTGTGATGAAACCTCCACTTCCACATGTCTGAGCAAACTCTCGTCATAGCATGTTTTCTATTTGGTTTGCTTGACTTCTTTGTTTATTGAAGAGGACAATAAAAGTTATGAAATCGTTTCCTCTATCAAGTCTAAACCTTACTGCTCTTGAGAATCTTGATACACTTTGTCGAACAAAGAGTCTCGTAAGAATATTTTTCATGAGATAGTATATGTAATGGATTAACCAAAAATACTGCAATTGTAACACCATCATTGCATCACAAAACTGATATTGAAACATATAATAGCCCAATAAGTATTTTGCAAATCAAGTCAATATTTCAATAAAAAGAATCATAAAAGTTTGGATATACTTCTCTTCCAATTCGATCTAATAAGGTTGATGGAAAAACTTGTCAAATATGAAGTAAACTTCTCATTTTTTAATTTGATTTCTTTGCTTTTAGGTTTCCGACGATTATCCGATGACGTTTTCTGACCAATTTCCGATTAAATTCCGACAAATTTTTCCGACAACTTCCCGACTACATCCTCCGACTATTTTTCGACTATATTTTTTGACTAATATCCGACAACATATTTCCAACGGAATTCTCGCAAAACCTTTCTGTCGGAATGTTCCGACCATTTTCTGACGAAATTTTGTTTCCGACCAGGAATTATCGAGGATTATTTTTCGTTGGAATTTTGTCGGAGTATCCCTTTTCCGACGATTTTGCGACTATATGCGTGGTCGGAAATAGCTATGTTTTCTTGTAGATCCATACGATTGTGACACTCGTCAGATCGCTCCGAGTACAAGAAGGGTGTTTCATAGTTTAGGTTACTAGCCGAGTTTTAATATCTCATGACATATCTGATTTTTGATTTACTGATGACTTTGTTTGATGCTACAACATTTGTAGACAAAGTTGCAAGAAGTAGAGGAAGCCAACAATACAAAAGAGGAGTAGTAATATATATATTTCTTCTTCCTCATCTACACGATAATAACGAACAATCAAACTAATCAAAAGTTCAAAACTAATTAGTGTTTTCATATAGTTTAAACCTAACTATTTCTATCTTTTATTTCGAATTTTCATAATTTAACCCTAATGTTTTCTTAGACTAATTCAACCTACCCAATATTGTTTTCAGTTTCCAATTTTTTCTCAATATCTTTTTATGTATGATCATGAGTCATGACTAAACTAAATCATTATTTTATACTATATCAAATTCTAGTTATGCTACTGTATGTAACATATATATCAAAAATATATCATGTAAAAGAAAAACTACTTTGCTTTTGATGAATCTGAGAGAGATTCAATTGCTTCGAATAATAATAGTTCAGTGATTATAAACTCTGTAGTTCAATTCCCTATCTTATAACTATAAGGTATCCTAAACACATACATGCACAAGCCTTTGCTGTAAAGTGTTTTTTTTTTTTGTCCTTAGGATAAGAAGAATATGATCTCAAGCTACCAAAATCACTAAGCAGAATGTGATTACTATTGTATCTTAATGAATTTATTTCATAGACACTAACGATCAATGACATCGTAATGTATATTTATAACTTTTAGTGATATAAACAAAAATCTTTTAGTGATATAGGATTATATAATATTTTATATATGACCAATGCATGTGTTTAAAATTGATCTTTTAGTATCATATAGTCAACCATCATATCTTACTATTTAAAGACTAATAAATTAAAAGTTCACAAAATCTTCAGTATGAATAAGAATAATTCTAAATATATTAGGATATTACATTTATGGATAACATCTCTTTATATATAAATAGAAGTGTATGATTTATTTCATTCACACACAAAAAAAATGGTTCCATGGTGCAAATGTTTCTTTTATGTGTTCTTGTGTTTGGTTGTTCTCTTGATCGTAGGTAAGCAACAAAAGAAATCTATGTTTTCAATTTAAACCTACATGATACACTCTGCTTTTATATATTGTATACTTAAGATTTTGGAATTAATTTGTTAAAAATATTACAGATGTTCCGGAAGTCGAAGGACATTTTGTGATAGGTTCTTGCTCGAAAATTCCAGACTGCCACACAAAATGTAATGAAATGGGATTCCGTCACGGAAGATGTTTTGAAGAGGAACGCGGTGCCCCGGAAAAAGCATGTGGTTGCTATAGAAATATGTAGTCACATTTTCTAAGATATTGCATTGTAGGAACATGTAGTCTTTATAATAATAGTAATAATAATGATATTATCTTAGGGTAACTTTATTGTATTTGATGCAACCAACAAGTTTGTAGCCAATAATTATTTTGCAAATCAAGTTACTATTTCATAGAAAGAGTCATACACTTCTCTTCGAATTTGATTTGATTGAACAAGACAATAATTTGGGGAAAATAAAGTAAGAATTACAGAAAATTTAATTTTCCAATAAACTAATTTTCTTTTCTTTAACATATATAAAAAATAGTTCTAAAAATATATGCTTATGAATATGTGGTTTCAGGTTGTAAATTTTAATTTTGAACCGACTTAGAATACATATTTACGAAATTAATCTTAATGATTTAAAATTAATAGTGTTTAAAACATTGGCTTTTTGGGAAATAATTGGCATAAAACGATTTTATTACAAAATGTGCTTAAAAACTGTTTATATAGATTTCTTTGTTCTAATATTATTATTATATCGGAAAATAACGTTTTGGTAGAAAACCAAATTAACCAACTGGAAACTAAACCAGATTACATAGCCAAACCGGACCAGTGTCTTCAATCAAACGAATTGGTACATTGGATATAATCATATAACACAGTAGTCAGTACCATACAAAAATAAATATGATCATATATTATTCTATAAATACGTCTCCCAATATGTTAGAAATTATTTATGGGGTGTTATTGGATTCTAACTTATAAGGAATTTAGATGACTCTAATAAAATCATAGATTGTATGATTGTTTGAGAGTTTAAGTGGGTGTTATTGGATAATGGATTTTAATAGAGTCTAACTCTAACCCAAGTCTAATGTTATTTAATCAATGATTTTAAATACTTTACTCAAATCAAGTGTTATTGGTTTTTATATTTGCAAAATCTTCATTAAAAGAGTTTAAAATCTAGTGTTATTGGTTCTTATATTTGCAAAATCTTCATTAAAAGAGTTTAAAATCTAGTGTTATTGGTTCTTATACTTACAATTATTAACTAAAGTCTTATGTTATTCAAGTTTGGTGGATTTTCACAAATGATTTCATTTGAAAAGCTTTGAGTGAATCTGAAACTGATTTCATGTGTAAATTATGTCAGTCCCAAAACCAACCTTCTAACATGAGATTTGACAATCTAATAAATTAATAAAAGTTTCATTTAACGTAATACACGTACGTTATCAATATTTGCAAACTCATTCACCCATGACCCAACACATATGTATCTCTCTTTATCATTTTTTTCCCAGTCTTTTTTTTTTATCCCTAGTTAATGTGTATATTGTTTAAACAGCTGTTGTATGATTCATTTGATCACTTTAACAAAACAAAAAAACAATTTTCATCTTTAAAAGATATGTTAAGACTTCAATACAGAAATTTGAAATGGGAAAAAAATACGTGATGGTAAAAGTTTGGTATAATTTCATTGAAAATTGTAAAATCATTTGTTATAGAATTCAATTCTATTGTTCAAAACCAAAAGATATCATGTGTCAGTGTAAATACACTTCCACTGATTTAAAGAATGAATAATAAATCAGTCTCAATGAACCCAGATTTTGAAAGTCTTATGAATTTTAAAAATCTAATGGAGTTGAATTTAACTTAAACAACTAATAACACCCCCTAAAAGATTGTTTGAGAATTTTCTGTAATTTTGTTGATTAATTTTTCATATAGTCTTGAAAGTCTTTCGAACAATCCCTCTATTTATAAGATACTTTTCATGACTTTATTTTGTAAAGAAAAGAGTTTAAAATCATAAACTAATAACACAAATTTTTAATTCACTAACAAAAGGAGATTCTTTTGTTTAAATTGAATAACACAGAACTTTTAATAATTTTGTAAAACTCTGAATCCAATAACCCCATATTTATTAAGATTTTGAATGACTTTTTACAAATTAATAACTAATAACATAAAACTTTAAAAGAGTTTAGTAAAATCTTGGTTGAATAACAACAGATTCTACCTAACATCTAAAATCATTAAAACACCATATAACTCCTCCTTAGTCAAGTCAACTAACATATCCTAGGATACATAGAAATTAAAATCTGACCAAATTCAAATTTTCAATATAATAATTCCAAATATATCAAGATATGGAGGAATCACATCTCTGTATTTATAACTCTTAAGTGTTTCGATTATGTTTCATTCACAAATCAAATAACTAAAAAAATGTCTTTAATATCATCCAAATCTTTGTTTGTTGTGTTCTTGTGTTTGGTTGTTCTCTTGATCCCAAGTATTCAACAAAAGATATCCACTTTTTGTTAATTTAAACCTATATGATATGCTTATTTTCTATAATAGTGTATATATTTTTATGTTTTGTAGTAATTGGTTTTATTATATATTACAGAAATTACGGAAGCTGGCACTGATTTACAAGGAGAGGGATATTTTATCATAGGTTCTTGCTCGACAACTCCAGAGTGCACCCAAAAATGCATTGATATGCAAATGACAATGCATCACGGAATATGTTTTGAAGTAGTGCCTCATGCCCGTGAAAAAGCATGCGGTTGCTATTAAATAATAACTCTATTAAGATACCGTGTATGTTATAAAAAAAAAATACTAATAATATATACATTTCTTTTTGTTTTATAAATATTTATATTTTCTCAAATCAATAAATTCTTATGGATTTTTAAAAAAATTTCTATGTATTAGTCAATTTATTTATTTATTTATTTTTTTCGAACACCTGTCAATTTATTTAAGAGTGAATTACATATACACATACTTTTGATAAGAAAATTGACATATAGACCTACTTTAGAGGGATGGTATACTTTTGTGAAGGTTTTGTTTGGTTATTGAATTATCTTAGACGATTTTGCCCTTTTTGCGTGGTTTGGTTTTAAAAAAAAACTGATTTTTTTTATAAGTTCTGAGCCTTTGGGTTGTAACTACGGATCGAGATGAGTGGCTAATATTTATTCAGATGAATAAAGTGAAAGAAAGACATTTTTGATTTTTTTAAAAAAATCGATTTTCTCTCTCTATTTCTCTCTTTTTCTCCTTTTTATTTGTTGTTGTGATTATAAGTTCTCATTTTAAATAGTAACTATAAAAAATTATCACTTTATTTATATACAATAGATTATAATGATATATTTTTTCTACATTTTAAGATGCATATTGCTATACTTTAGATGAATTATTGTATTATACACTATCCATTTGTAGTTGAACATTTGTTCACTGATAAATGGATAGTCAATTATAGTATCATTCATGGATACATAGTTGTTTTGGAAATTAATATATGAGCAACTAACTCTATCCACATGGATTACAAGAAGAGTCTAAACAATAAACCCTAAACCCTAAATATAAAACTATAAATCCTAAACCTAACCACTAAATACTAAATCCTAAACACTAAAACCTAAACTAAGCCATAGAAGTTTAAACCTATATCCAATAACAATAACACTAAACTCTAAACTTAAAACCCTTAAATTTTAAACCCTAAACATGAAACCCTAAACAGTGAAGACTTTTAAAATCTAAATAATAACATTATCATTAAGAAATGCCAATGGATAGTATTTATGTGAACAAATATATTATACATTCTTCATTGAGTATATTATATGATATCCACAAAATTTAATCTATCCATACTTGATAATTGAATCTATCTATAACGTTACTATCAGTCTAATTATGTATTTTATATCTTCAGCCTACAAATTAAAATGATAATTGGCAGTGCATATGTGAACAACTAACTATATCCACATTGATTGAAAAAAACTATAAACAATAAATCATAAACCCCAAACCCTAAACCCAACCACTAAATTACAAACTCTAAACATTAACGCCTAAATACTAAACCATTAAACGCCTAATTACTAAACCATCTAAATTTAACTCTAAAACCAAAACCAATCATACACTATATCCTAACCCCTAAACCTTAAACCTTGAACCCTAAAACCAAAACTCTAGCTAACGTTAAACACTAATCTCTAAACATAAATCATGAATCTCAAACTTTAACCATTATCCAATTAAATTTAACTCTAAAACCAAAAAACCATAAATCATAAGCTACATGCTAACCTCCAAACATTATAATGAACATCTCATCATATCCACACTATTGTAACCACATGGATATATATGGTCAAGGTGTAAAGAAAAAGTATTATAATATGAAAATTAAACTAACGAAAAACATTGGAAGATGCAAACGAAGGTAGAGTGAAAGTTAAACCATTTGAAAATAGTTTTAAGGACATATATTGTCAAAGTATGAACTTGCTTTACAATTGCTAAAAAGTATCCACACCATGTCCATCGAATTGAGTCCATATGTTTATAGTAACTGTGCATTATGTTCGAGAAATCAAATTGTCCATGATAATTTATGAATCCATTTAAACTCTTCCATATGGAGATATTTTGAAATTTGTTCAAAAGTGTGTAAGTCGTTGTCTTTAGAGTGAGGAAAGTTTGAAAATGATGATAATAACAAATTATGTGTCTAACAATTGATGATTATCCAAGCGGTGTAGTCTATTTGGTCATGTGAATCACGTAATCGTTACATATCAATACACAAGTTTATAAGCATCTAATGGTTATCTATATAGAATATGTGTACTGCAAATGAGACCATAGACAATTACTGTGCAAGATGTTCAAGATAAAAAAAGTCTAAGTCCTAAGTCCTAAACCCTAAAATCCTAGCCCTAAACATAAATTATGAACTATAAACCATCCAAGTAATTTTCAATATATAAATTATTTTCTAAATTTCTTATATCAAAAATTACCGTTCATGTGATCGTTACCGAAAGGGGGAGAGAAATAGAGAGAAAGAGAGAATCTCTTGTAAAATATGAAAAGGGCAGAGAAAGATAGAGAAAATATAACATTAAAAAAATGGAGCAAAAAGAAACGAGAAAACAAAGAGAGAAAGAAAACTGAGGATTATATATATATATATATATTTTTTTATTGTAATGTTAAAAGAAAATAAAAGAATGTGAGTAGTTATAAGTTAGAAGAAAGAGAGTAGAAGTTGTAAGGAATTGTTTGTCATTTCAAGTGTAAAAAGTATAGAGGTAGCATAAAGTGGGTGTATTGGTGAATATTTTATGAGAAAGTGGGTGTAAATGCTATTTACTCTTTATTTAAACTTATAATGTTAAGTTTGGCTGTGAGTGTGACACTCTACTTGTTATAACCAAATCCTACCAAAACCGGACCAAAGTCTTCAATCAAATTCAAACGTTTGGTACACTGTATATAAATCCGATTAGACCAAAATGTTACCGGTTCAGGTTATAACAAAACCAAACCAAACCGGTCCAGTGTTTCCTCCTCTTTGGTTCCTAAAAGTCTCCCTTTTGCGACTGCAACATGCTCAAGAGAGCGACTGTTCCGTTGAACCCCAAATCTATCGAAACCCCCAAAAGCCTTAATTTTGGAATCTCCTCTGCATTGATGAGTCGGCTTCCATGGAAGAGAGTGTGTGAAACCAATGAGCAATGGCACAAGCAGTGACTTCCCTTTTGTTTAGTGTTTTTGTATTTACATGGCAATTCAACAAAGTTTGAAACTTTAAGTCTCTTACGACTCGATTACATGGCAATTTCTTCAAAAGTCTACTCTTTTGAGTCGTCTTCTTGGCTGATACTTTCAGATTCTGGGTTATAAATCAAACCCTTGAGTTCGAATCAGTTCATTACCACAGATAACTCTGTCTTCTTCAAGGTATGCATGTCTCTTCTTACTCGCTTTTGTGGAACATTGATTGGATTCTCGACTTTGGTAACATTTTGTTCTTTATGTAGCATGGCTAGTGAAGCTCAAGAGACCCCTTTACTTCAAGGGAAACCAGACGATTATGGAGGTGTTAAGGTGAACTTGACAGAACCAATGACTACTGAGGAATTTGTAGCAAAGTTGAGAGCTTCACTTGTGGTATGGAGGAGTCAGGTATTTTCATTAACAGACCACTTCAGATTTGAGCCTTAGATTGTTTCTTCTCTATCTAAGGGGACTCTTTAGGAAAAAGTTATAGTCTTGTGGCAATGAGTTTGAGACATGGATTTGCAGGGGAAGAAGGGAATTTGGATTAAGCTTGCTGATGGCCTTGAGAATCTTATTGCACCTGCGAAAGCGGTAATTAAGATGTTATGTTGTAAAACTATGGTGTTTTGGATTGATTCTTGTGTAGTTTTGGTGATTTGGATCTTTTGTTTGGTGATTTTTCAGCAAGGGTTTGTATGTCACCATGCTGAGAAGGAGTACACGATGCTTACATCTTGGCTCGACGAAGAGTCACCTAACACTCTTCCTGCCAATGCTTCTCATCGTATTGGGGTTGGTGCTTTTATCCTAAACAAGAACAGAGAGGTAACTACTTATCCTGGCTAATCACTTTGAACATGATCTAAGAAAGACTCAATTCACTAAAATAGGGATTCAAGAGAAAACATTGTTGGCATATTAGATATAAGAGCTCATATCAGTTAGCCTAATCTTGCTTTGTTCTCTGGCGCTCAGTTACATTTATCTTTGCCATCTTCAGGTGCTTGTGGTTCAAGAGACTAGTGGATATTTCAAAGATAAAGATGTGTGGAAGCTCCCTACAGGTGTTATTAAAGAGGTTAGTTTTTAGGATTGTGACACATTTGTATATGTGTGTGGTATGTAAATCTGATCTTTTATTGTCCTAAAAGAAGTAAATTAAGACCAAAATGCTGACCAAACAAAATAACCAATGTTAATGCATGTCCAAACCAACTTTGCCTGTTTCCATTGTTATGTATCTACTAGAAAATTTCTAGAGACATATAGCCATCTAAGCATATCATTGATATTCACTTAGTATAGAGTACTTAGTTATCGTCGTCACATGTTGTTGATCCCATTAACTATGCTTGACAAGATCATTTGTGATCTATTAGCAATTAAATAGGATCGAGTCAATGATTTGCTTTGTTTCTAAACATATCATCATACCTAAGCTACTTGAAATTTCCAAATCCATAGGGTGAGGGTATCGCCGAGGGAGCAATTAGGGAAGTGGAAGAAGAAACTGGTGTAAGTAACCCTGAATAATATTTTTAAGATTTTGAGTTATATGTTGATAATGTAACCTAAGTTTGTAATTTACTTCTGCTTCAGATTAAGACAGAGTTTGTAGAAGTCCTAGCTTTCAGGTAACAAAAGATCTATTCAACCATTAGGTAACCCACTGAACTATATAACCTTGACATCATATATTGTTAATGTCTCTCTCAGGGAAGCCCACAAAGCATTCTCTGAGTATAGAAAGACGGATATAATGTTCTTATGTGAGTTGAAAACAAACAGTTTCGAAATCAAGAAACAAGACTCTGAGATCTTGGCTGCCAAGGTAAACTCTTAATCATATAATTTTGCGATGCACCTTGAACCAACCATGGTTTTGAGTTACGAGTCAGGTCTCTTGTTGTTGGTTTCTCTAGTGGATGCCGATTGAGGAATACGTACACCAACCTTTCCACACCAAGAAAGGGAAAGAAACATTCATGTTAATGGCTAAAATCTGCTTAGAGAGGTCTGAAGTGAAGACATTATACGAAGGGTTCTCTTCTGTCAACTCAGTAGTTTCAGAGAAGAGGAGCCTTTACTGCAGCACCGTTCACGCCAACAGCCTCAATATGAGCCCTGACGACCAAGCCTTCACTTCCACCTCTACCTAAGAACAAGATGTTGATGTTTCTCTTTGTTTCTGCTTTTTTCCATTTGACGTTTTAAAATCCATGTTTGAATAACATAAGATATATAATTTTTCAATACAAATATTTTAAAATTTCACTTTTAATACACCCCTTAAGAAAAGACTCGTTCTTGATCTTGTTCTTGTTTTGATGTTTTGATGATTAGATTGAAGAATGGGGAAGGGAGAATAGAAATAAAAATCCCAACCAAAATTAGACATAATATATAAAAATACTACCAAAAAAGAAAGTGGAACTTGTCGGCCACATGCATACGTATTGATTACAAAGAAACACATTGTATAAACTATGAATAACTATTTTGATTAACTATGTACCTAGACCAAAGTCTTGTCTTTGAGTCGTCATATTGAGTTCGAATCTATTTATTGGGATATGGAGAACCCCCAATACTATTCATTACCACTATATAACTCAGTTTTCTTAATCCAAGGTATATACATATGTCTCTTCTTATTCACTTTTAACTATAGGGACTTGAGCTTTTGTGGAACATTGATTTGAATATTGAGAGGAAGAATAAAACAAAGGTCTCTTCTCTTGTGACCGAAGACAAGAACAGAAACTGAAATTTTTATTGAACTGAAACTTGTTATTTTTACATGATGATACAATGAGTTTAAATAGAAAACTAATAAACACAACAACACAAAGTGTTGTGTGTTGTGTCTCTTCATACTTGAGTCTCTTGGATGAAACAACACAACCGTCACGACTGAAACATTGCGACTCTTAACCAAACTCAATTATCAATAAACATTCTCGACATTGTAACATATTCTTTTTTTGTCCTGCAGCATGGATGATAAAGCTAAGGGATTGAAGACAACTATGGAGGTGTTTATGTGAACTTGACCGAACCAATGACTATTGAAGATTTTGTCCCGAAGCTAAGGGCTTCACTTGTGGAATGGAAGATTCAGGTACTTCACTAAACAAATTTGAGCCTTAAGATTGTTTCTTCTCTTTAGGAAAAAAAGTTATTGTCTAGTGGGCAATGAGTTGTTGAGACATGGATATGTAGGAAAAGAAGGGTATATGGATTAAGCTTGCTGATGGGCTTGACAATCTTATTGCACCTGCCAAGACAGTAATTAATTAAGATGTTATGCCTTTTTTTTTTTGGATTAGTTCTTGTTCACTTTTGGTGATTTGTTGTCAGCGCAAGGTTTTGTATGCCACCATGCCGAGAAGGAATACACTATGCTTACATCTTGGATCTCTGAGCTACCTAATACTCTTCCTGCCAATGCATCTCATCGTATTGTAGTTGGTGGTTATGTCCTAAACAAGAAGACCAAAGAGGTAAAAACTAAGAACTTATAGAGTCTCCTTTTCTTAGTCCCTTCTCTATGAATCATAATGGCTCAACAAAAGAGTCAAGTCTCAATTAGAGCCAGTGATTGGACTAGAGAGGTCTTTATATTAAGTTCTATGTAATGTATAGTTCTTGTTTTTATCTTTTAGTACCAATGTACCATGATGTTTGATTATTTTCTGATTATTTTGACCTCTTGCGCGATTAGAACATAATTGAACGAGATATTTCCCTGTGAAGGTGCTCGTGGTCCATGAGATTGATGGTCCTTTCAAAGATACTGGAGTGTGGAAACTACATACCGGTGTTATTGAAGAGGTGCGGTTATGGGGATTTTGGCACCTTGTTTTAGTGTAATTTGATCCTAATTCCTCAAAGGACATTTACAATTACAAGAAGAGTTTAAAACAATCTAGCTATTATTTGTTTGCTTATGATTTTACACTTACCTATAATATCACAGGGTGAGAATGTTTGGGAAGGTTCACTTAGGGAAGTGGAAGAAGTAACTGGTGTGCGTATCTGGCTTAAAACTCCTACTAACATGTGTCATTTTTTCGGTTTTATATCGATGTACTAGAATCTTGATTCGTGTTTTCTTGAGGTCTTTTGCTTCAAATTAAGACAAAATTTGTAGAAGTCATAGCTTTCAGGTAACAAGATTTCTTCATGCCATCTTTATTAGCTAATCATGATCGAGTTCTTGATCGGTTTAATCTTGACTACATTTCTGTGAGTTAGAACCAATCACTTTTGAAATCAAGAAACAAGACTCTGAGATCTTGGATGCTAAGGTAAAAAAACCTCTTATATACATATCTTATGATGAAGCTGAACCAAGGATGGTTTTAGTTGTTGAAGACCTTTTAACTCCTTTGATCTCTTGTTTTTGGAGTTGATCTCAGTGGATGCCAATTGAGGAATATGTAAACCAACCATGGAACCAAAACAAAGAGTTTTTCAAGTTCTTGGCTAACATTTGTTTAAAGAGATCGCAAGAGATGGAATATATGGGCTTCTCTACTGTCCGCACAACGACTTCAACTGGTAGGGAAAGCTATATTTATTGCAACACTGATCAACCCAACCTTCTCAACGCAACGCGTGACCTTGCCTCCACCTCCACTCCCACCTCTCATTGAAAAAACCTCCTCTTCAGAATATGTTTATGTTTCTTTGATTCATGTCTCTATTAAAATTGTTCAATAAAAGCATCATTTTAGTGTATACAAAGACTGGAGATTTCTCTCTTCTTACTCACATTTTGTTTATTTTGGAATTGGAACCTCAACTCATAGTTCTGAAGATCTTGACATGGGTTGTTCAGTTTCTTGGTAGAGTTATCACAACCAGATCCATTTACTTGGACAATGCAACATGGACCAGTGAAACTAAACAGACCCTTTTTTACTTAGTGGGAACTAAAGACAAAACATATTCCTTGAAATCATAATGGAAACTTCAGGTGATGAATAATTGTGACAAAGGCATAATTCATAAACCAAATTAAATTAAGAACATACATATAACACAAAAACAGAGAGCACAATGAAGTGCAAAAAAAAAAAAAATTATATGAATTTACACTCACAAGTCACTCATGGTAATTATAAGAAATCCCGCATGGGATAAAAAAAAGGGTGTGTAGAAAGTATTGAAGGTAAATGTAATAAATACATCAAGCTTTGATCTCAAACCTTGAATACTTAATGGATCCGATGGAGATATCGATTTCAATGAGGTTATCTTCTTCGATGAAATCATTGATGAATAGATCAAAAAGCTTGAAATCTTGAACTTTGTTGTTGTGGAGATAGATATGGTTCTTGCTACTAGTGTAGTGGTGACCAATGTAATGACCACTCGGTAAAGACAGCTCTATGAGGCTCTCATCATCGGGGATTGCGTTGTCTTCAACCTCACCGTTGGTCGTTTCGATATTGTCCTCGGATTTTGGTGTGATGATATCTTCATGAATAGCAACATAGTCTCGATCTTGTTCTTGTTCTTGTTCTTGTTCTTGATCTTGTTCTTGTTCTTGTTCTTGATCTTGTTCTTGTTCTTGTTCTTGTTCTTGAACTTGTTTTGATGCTTGGATTGAAGGAGGAGGGAGTGAGATTGGGAAGAAGAATGAAGAGAAGAACAAAGCAACACAAGTAAGGAGGAGATGTAAGAAACGAAGTCCAAGGATGTGAAGAAGTGGAGGGGCTAGGAGAGAGAGCCATGAGAAAGGTCTCTTCAACAAAATTGAAGCTAAACTCATTAAGTAGTACTCTTCTACTCTTTTCTTCTCAAGATTCATTTCCAAACTCTCAAAATGATATTAGCTAGATAGATAAAACCCTAGAGTAAAAAGAAAGCAAAAACCCTAAGTGGTTTGGATTCTTAATCTGAAAAAGGGCTCTGTATCTCTATTTAGGAATACCATCAAAATGGAAAGGCTATTAATAGTAATACCACTTTGGGTAATTGCAAGATTTGATTATATTAATGTAAACTCAAAACCAGAAACCAGTCCATTGTTTGTTTTTGGCTTCGAGATTTGAGGAGCAACAACAGCTCCAACCTGCACTGATCACTACTCCCAATTTTTCCAAAATTTCGGAGTTATCGACTAATTATATAATTTAGTACTATGCATTGTAGTTGTTATATACCTAAATAAAATGCATATATCTCTCCCGTTTGATCGGTAAACTACTTAAATCCAGATTTAGAAAGACATGGATGAAAATGATCAATTCAGAGAGAGAGATATAGGTAGAGAAGTATGTTCATATTTAACAACAACCAAAAGAAAACCATTACATACCAACCATGAACTGTTTTTATTTACAAATAAAGCAGCAGTTTATTGTCGCCTTAAAAATAAACCGTTGATGAATTTGTCTTCTTCAACCGCGGTAACTATTTGCACATATAAATTAAACTATACTTTAGTACGATATCATAGTTTTTGTAGGGAATAGTTTTTTCCGAGTATTTTGTTCTATAAAAATAAAATATAAGCATGAATAACTTTTAATTTAAATGTATCTTTCATTTCACTCTCATAGAAAAACTGATTTTTTTTTTTTCGTCAAAATATAAATTATATTAATGAATGAATGAAATCATAATACAACTGGTCAGTTAGCCATTGAGGCGAATGAAACTGATTTATGTCCAAAAATATTATAGAAATATTTATGTGGACGTGTAATTTATCAAATATAATTTTTAGATAGGTTTAACTTTTGTATGAATCATGTGATTTTTTTGTATATCATGCTATTTATCTATGTCGACTTATAATATCCGAAATATCAGATATAAAGTATAATGTTATATCTTTAAACTATTCCTTAGTACATCAAATATATTTTGATATACATCAAATTATAAGCTTACACAAATTCTTGGATAAATTTCAACTTTTTAGTGGTTATTTTGATAAAGTTTGAAAATGAGGTAATTTTAAAAAGTGGCTTTCGAAAAGGGGTATTTTTGAAATTCCCCCATATATGTATATATATATATATATATCCCATAAAGATTTAAATGAATTTTTGAGAACCCCTTTTCAATAATACTCTTTTTATCTATCCATTTTCAAAAATGCATCTGTTTAAATATGAAAATTATAAAGTTTTATATGGTTTATAAGGTACTTCTAGATAATAACTATTACTAGAAGATTTGATCCAAATAATATATATTATTTTAAAAGGTTTTAAATCCTTTTTACAAGACTTATAACGTTTTTAAAAAGGTTTATAAGGGGTTTTATAAGGTATTTGTACGGTATTTATGAAATTTATATAAAATTTTATACACATGTAAAGATAATTTGTGTGTATATTTATAAGTTTACACATATATTTAGATAAATTTTAATATTTTTAGTGGCTTTGTTGATAAAGTTTGAAAATGATTATTTTTTAAAAAGTAGTATGTGAAAAGAGGTATTTTTAAAATTTCCCCAAAATTTAAACTATATAAATTAAACACTTTTCTTATAGTAGCATGTTAAATTTCACATAAGACATTTTATATAGCTTACATTATGGCTGTTTAAGTTGTTGTATCAACTTCAATTAAAATTACTCTCCCTCTCTACTTAATTAACCCATCCATCTAATTAAAACAAGTACTAGATGTGTTTAAAATATATCAACCAAATTAAATAAAGAACCAGAATAATTTGAGCATCTGAAATTGATTCTCTTGGAGACTTCAAAGGCCAAAACCCTTGAGCTTTGAACTTGTGTACACTGTCCAAGGCATAGAGAGTTGGTATGCCATGTGCCACCATCTGGCGTCATCTGATCACTTACTTTTAAACTATAGTATCAAATAGAAACTTAGATAGTAAAATCAAAGATAATGTTTGTTTTTGTTTTAAACACTCCTAAACTCATAAAATACAAAGTGGGCTCAAGATCGTAATTAACCTAATCATCGGCTTAAGACAGTTAAGCTCTTAAGTCACCTAATTAATTTTCATGGAAAGATTATTATATAGAGTAAAAGTAAATAATTTTACAAAGAAAAAAAAATCACAACATTATGGTTTGATGATATCTACTTCGATGGTGACCAAAAAAAAAAAAAGATATCTACTTCGATAAAATTTTATATAAAGTCGTATAAAAAAAGTTGTAAAAAAGTCGTATAAACAATATTGTGGAACAATTTGAAAATTTTTTGTTTTAAATTAGTTGTCGTTTAAAGTTTTATGTATATTACTTACAAATTTAAATTTTCTGTTATCTTTTGATAAAAAGAGAAGAACAAAAAGACCTCCATATATAGAATTATTTTTCAACTTTTCTATAGTAACATCATCTATATGTAGTAATATGCACTTATAAAATCGATTATGCATAGACATTAAAATAAATCTACGGATCAACTTACTTAAGTTGTCTAGATTTAAATAAATTAAAGACTATTGACAGCAATTTTATTTTAAATATAAAGTAGAAAAAATCGTTTTAAAAAGTAATAAATTTTATTCAAATAGAATATGTAAAACACATAACTAAAAATAGAAAATCGAAAGTAAAATAAATAAAATAAATAATCCTACAAAAAAAAAGGTGCCACTTGTCGGGTAGATGCAGACATATAGGATAAGCTACATATTGTTTGCAATATAGGCTACAAAAAACCTAGAAACTATGAATTAATATTTTGATTAACTATACTTATCAAACTAATCTTTTGATTAATCAAATTAACCTTTAGTTAATTGTCTCGAAAGGAATGTTGTTCATCTACACGAGTATGGCCTAATCTTTAATTAGAAAATGGGGGACCATCTCAAACCCACGAGGGCTCTCTAATTGATTTGATTACACTCTAATTTTTTTTAATGTTATTATAACATCTTTTAAATGTGAATATGCACTGGCATTCTTGGTATATAATTACATTTTAAAGTGTTTAAAATCACCTCCATCAAACTAAAAAAAAAACTTAAAATATTATTATTAAATTTAACCGACCATAGAGATGAAGTAAGGAAAAATTAAAAGTACACTATCAAACTTTAATTTAACAAAAAAATGTTATTATATATAGTTCAAATTTTGTTTGTCGGTTTTGTGTACAATTCTTTTTTTTTTTTGTTGCTAAGAATGTAAATATTTCATTAAAATGAAAATAGTTTAGGTTTACAATCAAAGATTTTAAACCTACACAAAAGTTTTGTGTACAATTACATATTTTTTACTTTACTAATTACATACCATAGAAAAACAAAAAGATATATGTAAGTTGTTTCTATGTGTCTAGCATTAGAAAGATCTCCAAGGACTCTGCTAAATTTAGATATTGTTTGTTACATTAACAATGTAAATTCTAAGTTGTTTCTCTCAAGTGATAAACACTACATGAAGCCATATGGATAAAAAATTAACTAAATCAATTGCACCAACTTGAATTATCAAATCCATAAAAAGCATCAATAGAATCTTAGAAGTTTATTGTTTAATTTAGGGGCATGTCTTGCTTACGTACTTATGTTTACAAGCTTGACTTCGCAAGTCTCTGTATTTTTTATCATTTCAAGTAGAAGACAGTATATAAAAGCTGTAGATATTTATATATCACAAATAGAGTGTGTCCAAATAAATTATAAATTTCGTGAAAAATGGGTTTGAAAATTATCTGTTTATCATCAAAAACATTTTTAATAAAATAACGAAATGGAATTTTTAAATGTGTAAGACAAAAAAAAAAAAAATCAAAGACATGTTACCATTTTAATTTGGTTGGTTTTTCTATTTAAAGATTATGTTGCTCTAATCAAATTACATACATTTCATGGTCCAGTTTATAACTCTTTTATGTATTTAGGGTTTCCCTCCGGATCATTGACATATCCAATATACAACTTTGTTAGATCATTTCCACAAAAAGATTTTGCTAATTACCTTCAAATGTCATCGGTGTTAAGTAATTAATTTGGATATTCGGATATTTCGATTCTTCAAAGCCATTTGATACTTTTGAAAGAACAATTTTTGCGGACCTATCTAGTCCTAGTTCCATTGGTCTAATTCATTTGTGGGTAATTATGGATTATGTCGTCCCAAGAGAGATTAATGAACCCATACATACGTCAATACGTCACATACGTCAATACGTCACATACCCATGAAATCTTTTTTTTTTCATAATTAGATAAGCAAATTCTTAATTGGGTAGCAACCTCAATAACCTGGTTAGTTTTGTAGATTTAGTGATCGGACATATATATATCTTCACTTAATCACTTCATTCAAACACAAGTGCCTTAATTAGGGCAATACTTTGTCGAAACAACCCCAAAACCATCTATGATCTATCCCATCACTTACATTGTCTTGTTTTGTAATTTCATTTTCAACTAGTCTTTGTAATTTTCTACTTGGTGGTATTAATTATTCCAATAAACGTTGTCGATATCATGTGATTGTCTATGTTTCTCACGTTATTGATCTTTAGAAAAGCCAAAGATTTGTAGAAAAATCTTGACGAGTGATGACTTTGTAAAGCCATTCAATCACAAAATCTTGACAATCGAGAGCTAGTGGCTTTGCTTTGCTCTGTCTTTACGTTAGGATCTATTATTTGTAAACCCATACCTGACGGCCACGGCATTACTAGGACACACACAAGGCCACACCCTTGTTTGATAATTGACATGCAGACGTATAATATCTTCTTAAAACCCTATCATCACTCCACGTTTTGTCGATAAACTATTAGATTATGGGTTTCCAATCTAATATATATCATAAGATATATTAGATTGTGAGCTTCCAACGTAAAACCATTTTCTATACTGGTAGGATCCTTGTCCAGCTTCCGATGTGTGCTATTGTATCTCTAATTACGCCCCTTCGAAATGATAGCTCTTTTATACATAAATCTCGGTAGTTTCGGGGCAAAGATCGGTGGACCAAAATTTTGGGTCATATCAATAGTAGATCTGGCTGAACATACATGGATCGGGCTCTGATACTATATTAGATTGTGGGGTTATAACTTAAAACCAATTGGCAATTAGTGGAACAATTTATATATTGTTATGATCCTTATCCAGCTTTCGATATGGGATATTGTATCCCAAATATAAACCATCTTTTTCTAAATTAGAGTTTTCTTATGTCTTTTAAATTGGAAACCTTAATTAACACATATCTTGATTCTTGACACACCATTCACATCGTTTCATAGCCCATTATTAATGATGGCCCAATCTATATCTTTCACTAATCTTTTTTTCTTTAGAAACACGACAATGATTGACATGAAACCATAGAACAATGACTTTTAGGAGAAATCTGTCGAGTCAATGGCCTTTTGTGACGTAGAAAAAAGACATATCCAAGTCAATGGTCTTGTAGTTTTGGCGTTTTTAAACATTTTTCAAAACAAAACAAAAGAGGAACCATCCGACCAAAAAAAATGAAATTCAACGACTCAAGAATTTACTTCGAAGGTAGTATTAGCTCGATTTGTGACCATGTCAACTTCAAGTCGCGTTTAAAAAAAAAAACCTTTTGGCATAATATGAAAAAAAAAAAATGCTATTTTTGATATCATTTAAAAAATATATATATATTTCACTCTTGAATATAATTTTAGAATATTTAAGTAGAATTAGAAAGCTATAAGGCGTTAAAAAATAAATTAGAAAGCTATATACCACCATTGACCTTTTAAATAGATATATATATATATATATATATATATATATATATATATATATTAATTTTCTAGTTATTTTTTCTGCCAATACTAAAGAAAAGTGATCTCTCATATTATTATTCACTACATTTTCTAAAATATATATATTTTCTTCATAAACGAAGCTAAGTAATGGTTAACTTCTAGAATTGATAAGAAATAAATCAAATAATTTGTGTTTATAAAAGTAAATTGGTTTGAATGGTTCAAAAGAGAACATGAATTGTTGTTATAACAAAAAAGCAAAAAAAAAAAAAATGGTGAAATCAAACACAACCCCACCCACTAATCTATAAAAGCTTCCCCCAAACTTGTTTCTCATTCACCATTCTTTTTCTCAATTCAAAGGTGAGAGACACAAAGAGAGCAAGAGAGATCATATCAAAAAGAAAAAAAAAAGATGGAATCTCAAAAACAAGAGAGAAGCGTGAAGGAGATGAAAAGAGTCACAAAGATCATAGCATTGGCATCAATTTTCTCATTTATACTATCTTACTGTTCTTTAATATCTTCTCTTCAACAAAAACTTCAGTTGCTGTCCATGTATACCAACCTTGTTGACAAGAAGTACATGTTCTTGCTATGCAATGGGATTGTTGGCTTTATCCTTGGGAGTTTCCGCGGGAATTCTGAAACAAGTCTACATGATAAAGCCATTAACACCATTGAACGAACAAGAGAAGTAAGGACCAAAGAAACAAAAGTCAAGAAAGAAACAAAAGTCGTCAAGAAAGTAGTAGTGGCACTACTTGAAGAAAAGAGTGTTGCTAAAGAAGAAGGCAGAGTTGTTTTGTTCAAAGGAGGAGAAGAAGAAGAAGAACAAGAAGTGCAAGACCTCGCTATCGTTAGAATAGATGATCATGATGATGACAATGGGATGAGTGATAGTTTGTTAAGTTCGGAAGAATTGAACAAGAGATGTGAGGAGTTCATCAGGAAGATGAAGGCTGAGATTCGAGGCAAGAGATGAATATAAATCTCTTTAAGTCTTGGATAGATGACTTTTAATTTCTAGAGTTTAGTTTAACTATCTTTAGTATTCTGTATAAGGCATGAGAAGTTTTTGATTTTTTCGCTCTTTCGACGATTCGACTCTGTATTTTTGCTGCCCACTTCAATTATGTATGTGGTCACTTTGTTTTTCTTGTATCATGTCTCGTGTGGATATGAAGCCATGATATAACCAATTCTAATGTTATGTATCGGCTTCCACTATCTAATAGTCATTCGAAGCTCATGGCACATTTGATCTCTACATGTTAACTCAAGATGAATCAACTCTGTTCTTGCTATTGATGATTCAAGATGCAAATAAGGCTTATCACCCCCTCAGCTTCATTGGCAGAACCATTTTAGATTCAGCTTCTTACCAGCTTCCTTGAAGAGCTCTGAAGCAACAGTGACACAACTTTTTGAATAAGTGTGAAGAAAAATGAAATGATGCAACAAGAACAAGTGAACCAGCAATAGAGAGGATATTGGAGAACAAAATACAAAACAGTAAGTATCTTGCAACAACAGTAATGTTTTATCACCATACTCAGAAGTGTCATATGTCTCAAATTGAAAATACAAGCCGGAAAAACACAAGCAAAGCCTTAGATCCTATCGATATCCTCGTCCTCAAACTCAACATAGTCATCACCGGCATTATCATCATCTTCATCAAGATCACCAACAATTCCTTCGTTGAGACGGGTGTTGTCTGGAAGCTCACCATAAGCCTTGAGAAGCCTAGCCTCATCAGACATGTACTTGAGGATAACATCGGCTTTGTCATCTTGGTAATCCCTCAGACCAACAAGAACAATATCACCTGCCGCAATCCAAACCTTCTTGTGCATCTTACCACGGATATGGCAAAGACGTTTGGTTCCATCGATACACATAGCTTCACATCTCCCATTACCAAGCATACGAAGGACTTGCGCGTATTCTTGTCCATCTTCCTTGAATATAAGCTCTCTCTTCTCGTCATCCGCTTCGTTCTTTCCTCTCTTCCTGTTCTTTCCTCCCTTTCCCTTGTTCTTCGGCATGGTATCTGCATACACAGTACAGACATATCCTCAGTTCTAAATTCAGTCTTTCAACATGCAAAACAAAACTCCTATCTCTTATAAACCACACAAGACTCTAAAACTAAAGCCAAAGCATATACCAAAACAAGAACCTAAGATTGAATCAAACTGTTTAAAATTGCTCAAGTTATTGATTCATTACATATGTATAACCAAAACTAAACCGAAACCTAAAGCTAATTGAAGATACCAATCTAGGGTTTCCAATAAAAATCGTAACTTTGAATCCGGATTGAAGAAAAATCAAAACTTTTTCAAGAATCATACAATTTCTGATAGAAACCCTAAATAGACGGCGATAAAGAACTTCGCCGCCGACTCAATTAGTGAAAACCCTAAATTTCTAAAGCTCCAGAATCGAAAATTACAAGTAAGAGACGAATTGAAATAAAAACTGAAACAGAAACGAGAAGGCTCACCACTAAGGAACGATTCAAAATCTGTGATTGAGCTAGAGAAGTCTTTGTAGCGATAGATTCACAAATCTGTTGAAATTTGGGGATCAAAAGTTTTGTAGCTTGCGGCTGCGAAAAGTTTTGTCGAATTTTCCAGAAATTTGGTTATAATAAAGGACACGTGTTTTGATTGCCCTTGGTTTTTAGGTTTTATTACCGAACCATACCACTCAGTTCAATCTGATATGCGGTTTGGTTTATATTCTTCGGTTTAATTTTCATTTTTTCTCAATCGAATAAAAAAGAATCATACCTATTATATCCCCTAGTACATTTTTTATTATATAAAGTTTAGTTGTTAATGTTCCTAATTTATAAAATCGTGATATGTGTCGAATTTATCAATATGATTTTGATTTGTAAAAAAAATTATATAATAATTTCTATATTAGTAAAAGAGAAATACAAAATTAAATACGGGTATGATCAAAATTAAAAAATTAATCCGATTTTAACAACTTGATACTTCATAATTGAATATATAATTGGGTTTTAGATACATAATTTGAATATTTTCCATATCTAATTTTAGAATTATATTATTTTCATAACTAATTTTAGAATTTTCTGGTATTTCTCTAACTAATTTAATATAATATATTGAAACAATTATTATTCTTGTTTCACATTTATTTGATCTTATTTTTACTTTAAGATATTATACTATATGATTAAAATGTTTTATAAAAATTTATTTATTTTGCATATGTTGTAATTTGAAGTTTTCAAGATGGACATATAATACCCAACTACACTGGATTAATATTTTGGACAATTGTTTTAAATAATTATAATTATGATCAGTATTATAACCAATTTTATTTGAGCATATTTAAAAATTCTTAAAAAGTTTCAAAATATTACAATCAAAAGGTTCAAATATTATAATATTGAAATTTTTAAAGGTTCAAATATATATAAAAATTCCAAATTTAAAATATTAGAAATATATTTATGGAGAAATAGATGTAATTTTGGAGACATTATTTTTTATTGATCAAATATATTATATATCAAACAATGTAAATTTTATGTTTAGTTCACGGGTTAGTTTGTTAAACTCACAATTATAATGATAGAGCGAGTTATGAATAATATTTTTACTAAATGAAATCTTGTTTATGGGTTGGTCCTTCAAAATATATATTGTAAATATGTAATTTTTACGTATATTCCTACTTCTACTAAAAAATGGTCAAACTAAATAATTTATTGATACATATTCTTTTGTGCTGTTAAATTGTAACTGTTTTTATTTTTCTTTATTGTATCAAAACACAATATATTATCATTTACTCACTTTTTCTTTTATTATTTTATTTAAATTTATTACACAAATATATGATTCACCGTAATTGATTGCAATACAATAAAATTAAAATGTAACATATTCTAATCCGTTAAAAGTTATATATATACATATATATATATATATGTAAATATTCTTAGCGTTGTAGCGTGAGTCCGAACCTAGTATTATTTTATTTTATTTGTTCTTTTATTTTAATGATTATTAATTTATAGTAAAATTACTTATCCTTAAAAGAAAAATTGTAATTTACTATCTTTTTATTAAAGAAAAGGAAGTTAGATGTTAAAAAGTAATCGATATACATAAAAAAGTTATTAAAAGTATATAATTATACAAACTTTGATGTTATAAAATTAGTAATTAACGGTATCGGGACACATGTCAATCGCTTGATACACATGTAAACCTTATAAATAGTCTTAAAATTGACATGTGTAAAATTAACAATTCCCAAACATATCACAAAATAATTTGGAAACCAAATTAAATATTGTATAAGAAAACTAAGAGAATAATATAAGTAAATATTGAATCTTCTATTAGTGAATGATTTTGGTAGCGTATTAAATATTATAGTATATACTTACATTGCTGATTTAACTTTATATTAAACCTAATAGTTTTTTAGATATCTTATTATAATCAACATATATTTGGATGTAGAGACTTTGACTTTAAAATTTTAGCTGCAGAGAATTTGGTTGTTGATGCTTTAGTTGTAGAAAATTTTACAGTTAAAATCTGACTGGTAATGCGCCACTTTTAAAGATGTGGCTGTTAATTTTATTATTATTATTAATTTATATTAATAATAAATATAAATTATGTTAGAAATGAATTTATATATCAATTTAATGACTAATCTTTTTATTAATGATAAAAATATTTTTGAAAATTAAATAAATCATACTATAAGGTTTAGAAATAACTGAAGTTGTAGACATCAGTTTATTTAGTTATTATGATTTAAAATAATGGAAAAATATAAAAACTATCGACGACTAGCCTTATAGCGTTAGCAATCTCATCACAGACACCTTCTTTGTATTTCTCGAACTAACATCTTCTTCTGTTACATTTGGAAGTTCCTCCTCATTTGGAGAACCTTCTTCTTCTAAGTCATCAAAATTGGGATCTTCAATATGTGAGTTACGAATAAAATTATGGAGGGCCATTGTCACCACAACAATTTTTCTCATCGTTGCGAGATTATATTTCGCGTCATCTCTCATGACTCGCCATTTTCCTTTCCATACTCCAAATGGTGTTTTAAACCTTTTTGAATGTAAGCAGTCAAAAATCTATTAAAATTGGGATCTTCAATATGTGAATTACGAAGGGCCATTGTCGCCACAAAAATTTTTCTCATCGTTGCGAGATTATATTTCGCGTCATCTTTAATGACTCGCCATTTTCCTTTCGATACTCCAAATGGTATTTTAAACTTTTTTGAATGTTTTTTTATAAGCAGTCACAAATCTATTAAAATTAATTAATGCATTGTTTTGAATGTTACTCCCTATATAAACATATAAACATAAATTTCATAACTCTTTTACATCATCATTATTAGTGATGATGAAAATAAAACTGATTATTATTGAAATGGATCTTAAAAGAACAAGAAAAAAATGAGAATAATTAATTTATAAAAATAACATAAATTTCATAACTCTTTTACGTTATCATTATTAGTGATGATGAAAATAAAAATGATTATTATCGAAATGGATCTTAAAAGAAGAAGAAAAAATGAGAATAATTAATTTATAAAAATAAAATATATTTATAAACTTATGGAAATATTTTAAATGTAAATGGGATGTGAAAAAATAAATATTTTTTAATTGTTTAGAAGGGAAAAAAATAAGTGACTTTCAATGCTTTTAAAAAAATAAAAGCAAAAAAGTTTGATAGTAATTGTTGTAAAGGCTTTAAATATTTTTTTTAAACAGGTCTCCAGAAGAGCACCGATTACGGAGAAGATCACCCCAATGCCCCGTAGACTTCAATGTTCATTTGAGAGATAACAAGGAGAAAAAGAAGAATTGGAGAAAGGCAACCACTAGCCACCAGTCTGCACTCGTCGATAGCTGTCTCCAATAAGTTATAGTTGTTTTTTTGGTGGATATGTCGAGAAGTTGTTCAAAACTACTTATCAAAATTTATCTCTAGTAGTTCCTCATATTAACATAAATGAATATAGAAAATATAAATGCTTTACTGACATGGCATATTTGACGTAAAAAATTTCGTGAGTATAGGCCAAAATCATCATATTATATTTGTAGTACAATATATAAATATTTTTGAATAAAATATGTAAACCGAGAGCAAATCTGGTTATCATGATATAAAAATGAGGCAATTGGATCTTTCATATACAAATTTTGTACATTCTACTTTTTGATTTGGAATAGATCAAATTTGGAAAATTTTATCCATCGATAATAAGAGAAATGGTTGTGTGATAACCAAACATTGTCTCTTTTTAATAATCATCTACTAATATATTTTATTGATATTTGTTTTCTTGTCTATAATTCAATATACTTCTTTTTGTGATCAAATTTTACTGAACTTGTTTTTAATTCGAAAGATTTACATCCCCGGTCTTTTTGATGAATGAATAGATGATACACATTTGCCATCTAACTTTTTTAAGAAATATTTAATTACTTTCTCTTATAACAATAAAATCTTAGTTTCGTAGGAGGCTTTGTATGGATGATAAAACTAAGACTTTAGTCCAATATTGGGAGGAAGAACTTCAAGAAGAAGGTAGGCAAGTTTGGGAAAGCAAAGAAGAAGAGCAAAATGATGAAACAGAAGGTTGGTTGGCTTGAAACAGAAGGTGGATGAAGAGTCAGTATGAGTCATTAAGAGTCAGTATAAGTCAGTATGTGATATGAGTATGGCCGAACAAGACCCGGAGCACGTAGTGGAGGAAGCCGTTGACGAGGAGCAGCACGAAGATGACGAGGAGACACACGAAGACGAGGAGCATCACGTGGACGAGGAGCAGCTCGAACGGAGGAAGCATTAATCATTCCGGCGGGTCCTCTAACACGATCAAGGCTCAAGAAATCAGTGACCTTCTTTGGGAGTTAAACAAAAAGGAAGAAATCCTGGCTAAAATCTCTCTCATAATGGTTTTGGCTCAAGAGGTTCGGTAAAAGGTTAAGTGTTGCTTATGCACTCTTTTTCCCTTGTCAAGTTTTGTCCCAAGGGTTTTTCTTGACAAGGTTTTTAATGAGGCCTAAGTAACCCTTTCAAAGCCTTTTATCAAACCAATTTCGTTGGTCCAAGGTCCAACACTTTGCCTTAGTCCATTTTCTATCTTTTCTCTACATTCTTGCATCTAAAGTTTTTGTAATTTCCAAGACATTGTGCATGATTTTGCATGAGTGTGGGCTTGTGCATATTCTTCTTCTCTTCCTCTTCTCCTTCATTCTCCTCTCCTATATAATCCCGTTGTAGTTTTTATTTCTAACTCATCTATCTTTTTATCAAAAACTCTTTTAAGTTAAATCACTCTCTTGTCCTTTTTCTTTGGTTTGTAATATTCATATATAGTCCATAATTTTAAAACACATAAGAAATCTAATATACCCGAGAGTATACAACACATTAGAGAATGAAACTCGTTATAAAATCTAATTTGCTTTTTTTAAAACAACATAGTGCAATTTTGTTACAACATACCAATTGAGATTTCTTTCGATTCATGAGTATCATTCAAGATATTCCAAAAAGAAACCCACTTGAGTAAACA